ACTTTTTGCCACTTGRATATACGAAACCACAGTGGGTAATTTCATGAAGAAATTAGGAAATATTCACRTTTTTAACCATGATGTCACAAGATAGCATTCTTTCTTAAGAGCCATCAGTTTTCTGATAAAGTCAAAAAGTAAAAGCCAAAACAGYCAAAGCAGAGCATGTGAGTTTTAAAGATTTGGAAGGGTTACCTACAATAGAAGTTTCCTCCAGCACATCAGAGCCACATGCGCTGCAGAAGCCCCGAAGCCCAAGTCCAGAAAACAAAATGAACAAGTGAAATAACAACGATATTTTTATATTAAATTATCAAGGATTAGCCTAGAAAAATGTGGTGAAAGAATAAACAAAAAGCCTAAAGAAAAAGCCACAAGCCACCTTTGGGTTGAAATTCCCATTAGGCACAMACCTAACGGGAATCCGAAGGGTAATAGAGTCCAAGAGCTCTAAGTGCCTGAAAACAAAGGCCACAACTCCAGTGTTACTAACGTAAAGCTGTAATCTTTTTCCTACGGTCTGGCTAATATGCAAGCACTAAATGTCAGTTAAGATGTAAGAGAGTAGGAATTTTCAGTGGGCTGGAAATCTGCTTTAGTCACCTGTTTTCTTCTAGAGAGGAATGTTAAGAACAAAATTACACGTCTGCCCTTGGTTTTAACCAATCCTCCCATTAATGCTTCTGTGACAACCTTTTAAGGAGATACACCGTGAAAAGAAGTGATGCCTCTACATTCTGATGCACTAGAAGTGTCCCTTTATTTCCACCAGAAACAGCAGTTTCAATATTGGCACCAGAAAGGCTAAAGCTCCATCTAATGATGAYAAAAGCAGAAAGGAGCAGCTATGTGAGCAGGCAGGAAGGTCTGGGTGCTCAGAGTCTGGTAACTCTTTGTATTTTGAGGGCTGCTAGATAAATTGTAACTGCCTGAACCCAAAGAGCTCCTCTGCTTTACAAAATTTGTTACTAAAATTAGAGTACTTTTTATCTATGTAACAGCAGAAAATCAACACGTTACAAGAGGAAATGGCTTAGGGAAAGAGTCCTCCTCATTCAGGGTTTGCCCTTTCATTCCATAGATCCTGCAAGAACATTCAGCCTCTGTGCACAGTGTCATTTGAAGGGTATTAATCAGAGCAAGCAGGGGAGCAGCCAGCCCATGCACAGGGCTGCAGCCACGGGGTGCACTATAGACTTGAGCAACATACCCCAATCTTGAACTAACTCACTCTCCAGAGAGGGTACACAAAGAAATTCGGATTTGCTCTATTCTAGACAGTGAATTTTTTGATTCAATTCCTCTTCAAGTGAAGATATGCTTTTCTTGCAATGTCTAATATGGGTAGCATCATTTTTTCTTAAAACAGCACTTGATATAAACAATGATTATATAACACAGAGGTACTTGTATTTAAATAATATCTGCTCACTGCACGAAGATTCGTACATCAAAATATACTATCTATTCAATAGGCGAGTCGTGTTTTGGGGAAACTTCTTACCAATTTGTTGCAAGTGGGGTCTTCTACGGCCTGGGATGAGTGGAGACCAGGTGCCAGTCGGTCCCTCTGGTCTGCTCCTCGCTGTCTCCCCCTTCTGATGTGTTAGCACACGAGCTGCCAGCCCAGCTTTCCTGGTCAGAAAGGAAGGGCATTTTCAGGAAACGGGTTTTATTCTTCCAGCTGCAGTACCTGCAAACAGTCCATCACCTTTTGCTGGGCTTTATATGCAGCATTTAAGAACCACTGTCTACAGAAATCAACAGGATGTTTCAACTCTGCTCAAGACAAGACCTAACTGCTACTTAAGGGTGTTAATCAGCCCATGGGGACYGCTGGGGGGTTTTGCTCATGGGGACACAAAGAGGTGAAGCTCAGCACCCCGTTTTTGCTGAGGACCCCAATGTACCCGGGTCCCAGCTCAGACACAATCTTCTGCCTTGCCAGCCACCACCCAACAGGCAGACCAYGTTCTGCATCCTAAAGGGATGTATTCAAGTGGGAATATGGCAACTGACTCATTATTTACTACAAATCAATATAAAACATATACATGATATATATTTTTATATATATATGATTGATTTCAGGATGTAATGGTCCTTTACTTTTGCATTTACCCTCTTAATCCAGGAAAACAAACCAAGTATTGAAACATGTCTGCTGCTGGARTTCACTCAATGTTTCCTATAATTATTCCTGCTGAGAAATTCTTTTAAAGAGGATTTTTTTCCTCATAGAGAAAGGAAAACAGATTAATTCCTTGGCAACAAAATACTAATTAATCAAATGGGGCTCTATTCATTCCTAGCTTCTTCATTGCAAGAAAATATCCACTGTTTACCGCTGAAATKATAGTCTTGATTCAGTGTAAAATCAGGTGCTCTTAAGATCTAATTGCAAAAACAAGAAAAATAAGTTTTTGTGACGCTGCACTGTGTTTGTCTCGATGTGTGACTGCTGATTGCAGAGGCCGATGGTTAAGTAGAGGCAGGACTTTCTGCAGGCAGTTGCGTTGCAGCAACCTGCTTATCTCTGACCCCATAGACTGCCGGTCACCCCTGCAAATAGTCCCTGTTCCCATGGCAGAGAACTGGCTCTGCACCTCGTGGAAGCTGTTAGGCAAAGAAAACACAAATTTCCAGCCTGATCTGGCCTAAATTTAAAGGCAACTCAGGGCATTACCCCTTGCTGCCGCTGGAGAGGCCTTGTTTTCAGTACGTACAAGTTTTCATCTTGCTGCTTCCAATAAAAACAGGAGCTTCCCATATTCAGAAGTATTCCCATACTCTTCTTAAAGACAAAGCCCCTATTCCCAGCACAGGGAGGCTTTTTAAAACTCAGCTTTGCTTTCCGAGGCTATCCAAATCTCCCATTCAAACCAAAACCTAACTCTGGTTTTGATGAGTGTGTTTAATTTATTTAAAACATGTCTGCCAAGGTTAGTTTGTACATCAATATGTACAATTCTTTAAGGAAAAATATTGTCTTGCTTACCTGACAGTGTCTCTAATTAAATTTTGCRTATAAAACCCATCTGTTGAGTAGTCAAACCCAGCAGTGCTGCTTGCTTTTTTACTAATTTTTTTRAATACGGTAGATTAGAAACCAGACATTTGTCTGAAACTTTCCTTTTCATTTTTAATATGGAATAAAATCCATCTCAGAATTTGCCTTTCTGTAACGTWAAGGCAGCAACTTGAAGAGACTCAGAAGGTGATGGCTGCATATGCTGACTAAATGCAAAAAGGGGGCATATTCTTGTACCTGAAAGCTCCAGAGACAGTGACAAGCTATGCAATTCAGATATTATTTGAAGTTGTTTCATATTTGGGCAACTTTGGGAGCAGTTTCTATAAGTACCTACAGAGACAGGCTAGAGCTGAGATGTTTGACAGAGGAGAAGCCTGGATCTGGGTCTAGAAGATGCCTCTGCATTTCCTTGTTCCTCTAAGGAAGCCTAGATCTCGCTATCAATTCCTACCCTTACTTTTGGGATGTGCAGATCTAAATTCAGATCTAAAACCTCAAGTGATTAAAGATTTGGGTTAGTGCTCGGCTCACATCTCTGGTCCTGACGAGCTACAACGTGCATTGACATCACAGCAAGTCCAAGTGGCCAAGGCTTCCCGAATGCCTCTGTGTTAAGGACCAGACCTACACTTGGTTGATCCTCAGTGCGAGAATTTTCTTCCAAATAAAATGTCRTTTTCCATCATGAAAAATGTACCAAAAATTGCCACAAAAGGGAAGGAGGGCATGYTTTAAAATCCTTCTACAAACAGTAAAAAGAGGATCTTTTGAATATGYTAAGACTGGGTATTTTCCTCTAATTCTTTCACACTAGCATATGAAAAATGAATTTCAGTAACATATATGTTATGAAAAATACATTTCAGTAACATATAGGTTTTGAAAGACCAAAAGACTACAGATACAACCATTTTGATTTACAGAATCAATAACCCCAAAGAAGGACATGATTATTTACTTGCAGTAGCATGCATTGGCACGTGAGTACTTTTCACTAGGAGCGCTGCTAATTGCAATTAGTATTTTTGCTTTGGCTAGTAGAATACAAATGGCTGTTKCTGTTTAGTGGCACGTGTCACTTCACCAAAATACACAAGCTCATTTTTAACCTTTTCACACTGTAAAAGTCAAGCAGGAATTTTTTTAAACTTATATTTGCCAAAAAAAAGTTATTATTTACATACAATGCTTTCATTAAATAAAATATTTAATTTTCATAAATTACTTCTAAACACAGAAGTTCAAGTTTTTACACCATTTAGTGAGGCATGCCTCGAGATTAACAATACACACATGATGCAAAGGGAACTATAACATTTATAACCTTTTTATTCTTCCCCCTAGAACTTGAACAGGGCCTGTARTTTTCTGGCAACATAAAAATCTAACGTTCATATCCCATGGGCAACAGAAAGAGATGTGGTTGACACGGGACTGAACACACCTGCCATCAATAACACCCTGTGCCAGTCACTACGTAAGTAGTTTGTGTTAGATATTTGCTGCAGCAGCAGCAMTCGGAAGCTCCTTCCTGCAGGTGCTGGGTTATTGTCCTGTTCTCCCCTCCTGGGCTCCCAAGGAAACTTTGTGTCTGGGATTAGAGCCAACCTGGCGCTGGGTTCCCCCTGGTACATGCAARGCACTAAGCAACACTGCACCTTGTGAAGCACCGAGTGATGAAGGGGTTTTCCTTGGTGCCCACCGATGGCCTTGGAGCTTCTTGCTGCAGAGGAACGTCTCTCCTGGCTCTTGTCATCCTAATGGACAACTCTGCGTCATGGAGGTGGCAAGGAGCAAACACAGCAGGATCACAGGTACCCAACACACCAGGTCCAGGCTACAGCCAGGGGGGAAGTCATGGCAAAATCAGTGTTAATCTTCCAAGAACATGAAGTCTCCCCACATCAGACTATTTTGAAGGAAAAAGGCTCTGTTAAAACACCCCACACTTGCCTGCATTCCTGAGGCGAGGGACAAAACGAGAGCTGAGAGACATGAACATTCCAAWGCCTTTCTTCTTTTCTCCTTCTTCTCTGTATCTTAGCAGGAAAGCATCCTCGGAGGGGTGTTGTTTCCATGAGGAGCTGACGAGGCTGCCAAAGGAAGCACAGGGGGGTTCATGTTAGGAGCACGCAGCCCTGCGTGTTTTCCGTGTGTCTCGGAGCAGGAGCATCACTGCACGGTCCTGCCAACGCCACGGGCCTCCTCTGCAACACCACCYTGCCCTGAGCCACCCGCCAGGTATTCCTCTAATTATCAGCCTTAATTGCGGGCCTTTTAGCTGGAATACGCTGAAAATAGAATGTTTTTTTTTTCCCCTCAATAATGGAGGGCTTAATCATTTTCTCCTACAGTTCTAGGTTTATTTCTATTTGATGCATTTTTTTTCCCCGGTGAATGTGTTATGAAAGAGTGAAAAATGGCTTTAATCTTTAGAGAGAAAAAAAAATATTAATAACTTGACATAAGCAGTATTTTTCATTTCTCTTGTCCTCTGCAATATTTTAGTTAAAATCTTCATTGCAAGTCTTCATACGAGACTTTCTACATCCTTTCCAGGAGGGAATAAAATGACGACAAATAGCAACAGGACTTTAAACCTATTTTTAAGAATAAAACTTTTAAAAGCTTAGAAATTGATATTTCAAATATTCTCTCTGCAAAAGCRCATTCATTTTTTTCAGAAACTGAGACATTTGAGGGCTAGGTCCCATTGCTAGAAGGTGGTTGTCCATCTTTGAGAAGGCTGTTGAGACTAGAGCAGATTTAGTCATCCCTGATCCTTGCTCTTTTCTTTCCCCACCTCCTCCAGCCCCACTGCTCTAAAGTCTAAATCTAAAGTCTAAAGTCTAAATAACTTTCATTTGAGGCTAAAGCACTAAGTATTTTCTGCTGATAACTCAGAACTCTGCAGAAACGCTCAGTCCTTTCCAGGCTGGATTCACTTGCTGAGAGCAACCGACCAGGTTCCCAAACAGAACAAGTTAGCTGGGATTTCACCTAGAACAGGGTGGACAAGGATTTACAAACCACCTCCTCGCCCCTCCGCTACCTTCTGCTTGCAGGAGCGGGTGGCATTTACCCTGASAGCGAGCCACACCTGGATAGATTTATGCAGCAAGAGATTTACTGAGAAGGTTGAAATGAAGCTCCGAGCATAATTAAGGAAAACCAAGTGTCAAAAGTAAGGAGAAGATAATTACTGTTGTCACGTTTAATCCCTTGGTGGCAGATGAAATGATAGGGCTGGCTTAGGAGGTCGTATGAGGAATACAGAAGAGCGCTGCACTGGAGGGGCCCTTTGGCAGAGGGGCTGGCAGGTGCCACGGAGGCCGATTCCGGACCCTGTGGCCTCTGCCACGGGATTTACTGCACTCCAGCAGCGGCCTCTTGGGGCAAGAGGGAAAGGTCATCTGTGCAGCATTGACTAATCCCCTCCATACGTAAAAGGCAAAGGAAGGTGAGTTAATGGAAAGGAAAAACCTAGGCTCAACTCATAGCAGGATTTTGCTTTTAACTGCACACGCACAAGTCACCTTCAAGAAAACAAGTGTTTATGACTCTTTTTAACAACATGTAACCCACAGCATAGGCAAACTAATAGCTAGCAGTCAAGCTTACTGAGAAGATTTGAAAGCAGGGCAAATGGGGCCAAACACCTCCCAAAAAGCCAGATTTCTCAAACCATACAAGGTCATTCAATAACTAATCCYTGAGACTAGAAAAATAAAGATGTTTGATGCATTCCTTGGTATTTCAGAAACTTAAAGGTAACCGTGGCACCTGTTTGTGGTGCAGCCCTGGCACGTATCATACACCTAGAGCTGCAAGAACAGGCCTTGCACGGGTGGGATTATGCAAGGTTTGATAGAATGGGTGCCAAACACGTGAGACGTCCAAAGCGAGAGCAACAAATCCTTGAGAGGGATTTTAAAGATGAAGAGACAGCTGTGGTTAAAAGGCAGAGCTGACCAGAGTGTTCAAAGCAAGACGCGTGAAGAACTAATTCAAAGGAGCAGCCTTCAAATATAATGTGAGGGGACAGCCCRTGGAAAGAAGAGGAGAATTTAATGGAGGTGAAGAAAATTTTCAAATAGAAATTGAATTAGGAAATTCAGGACACTGCTTTGACATCTATGCTGCATTCCACTCTGAATACATGGTAGAAGACATCCAAGTGGTAGGATCAGGTACTATTTAACATCACTACTGGCTTGACCCACATGCAGTGATAGCTCTGCAGTATCTAGTTATTGACCATAATCCTCTAGCTCAAGGACATGAAATAAATGGTCCTTTGCTCCAAATTACACTTGAGATCTGGATCAAAAAATAACAGTTACAAGGAAAGACTTGCCTGTGCACTTCTTTGGCAAGTACAATCCCTCTTACTTCTCAAAAACTTGCAATTTCAATGGCTACAAACCTTTCTTTTAGTGAAGAGGTAGCTCATCTCCCAAATGCTGAAATAATTACATTAAACACACAGCAGTGATTTAGATACTAGGCCCTGTAAAATACTTGAGTAGCGGGGTGAAACACATCTGAGGTAAAAGCRCACTGTGCTCTGAGCTCTAAATATGATGTGCCCTGATGAACCTCCACGGCATATGAGCCTGGATATCCAGATTTATCTGTGCCCGTATCTCTCTTCACTGCTAATTCAGCTTCACAAAATACACCYGCAGAAGCAAAGCGGCTGAACACTACATCTCTCTCTCTTAGTTTGTGCCATGTTATTAATATTCTTCCAATGTTGTCTCTGGTGCATGCATTAAGTTTTAATTAGCATTCCCCAAAGGAGGCAGGGATTGGGTTATTAACCATCGAAGGCGATGGTTCRTTGAGGAATCCAGGGTTACACTGTTTTCCTTTCCAGCCTGATTTTGACCGACTGACTTAATCTAATTTCAGAACACCATGAAACAAGTGACAGCGAAGAGACCAGAGTCAAATTGAATCTGCTCCTTCAGCAGTACGAGTGGATGAGGTTCTGTTTCAGCCAGACCAGTGGGTGCAGAGCTGGGTGAGGCTGGAGCTCCTCCGGGTCGGGCACTGCCACCTGCAGCCCCATTCCACTTGGGATGGGATGCAATGACTCAGCTTGCCCTATCGTCTGGAAGGAACCCAAGGGATTAAGCCCTACGGAAGCACTGGAGTAAGGAGAAAGCTGCCGTTTCTGGCTAGGTTATACTTGAAAATCTACTCTGCATTTTGAAAAAACTTCTACAAAACAAAGTCTCAGATTGAAGTAACAGTGACTTAACAGCACACGAACGCCCCAGGGACAAGCCTGTCCCCAGGTTTCACAGCATGTGAAGATCTACCCCCATAGTCAATCCTGCAGCATAAGCAAGGCACTGTTAAAATGTGTGTGTGTGTGTGTGTGTGTGTTGTGTACATACACATGTATACGTATATTTATGTATGTACAGGGAATGGAAAGATGCTATGGATCAAACTTTTCAAACTCTTACCTTTCACTTTCCTTAAGGATTATATTGAAGCTGCTGGTTTTAGAGCAAGTGCAGAGATAACGTGTATTAGTTGACTTGTACTTCACGCCATGACGGGCTTGCAGGAAGCACCTGTAATTACCTGAGCAGAATGATCTCAGCCCAAATCGTCATGAACTTGGTGAGATTTAGCRGCTACTTACCATTCAGCGTGGCAGATGAGCAGCAATGCATCCGGCAAGCTCACAAGCATCCACTCCAGGGTAGGTGCCGTGAAACAACCCACTCCTGGCAACACTCGGTCATACAAGAGGTACAGCTACGTGCTGAGACCACATTCGTGGTTTCCTCAGTAAATGCAGAGCCAAGGCTACGCGGGAGGAGAAAAACAGACAAGAGAAGGAGCCGTGTTTAACTTTGTTCAGCACAGGTATAAGAAGCATTTCATTTTACACAGTCCTCACTTCTTATTTACCACRTTCCATTTACCATTCACTAAATTAGATACATCTAAACCATCAAGATATATCACACCGAATCCCCAATCCACAYGACAGTGCTTTGAATAGCTTTAGTTCACCTAACGTGGATAAAATGTTATGTATTTCTCTCTAATGCTGATTCCCAGTTTCTTAATTTGGAGCGTTATTTGGCACTAGAGCAGGTCTCCCACACAAGAGCCACCACACAAACATTTCAAAACTACACATTAAAAAAAAAAAAATTGCTTATTCATAAATAGATCCCGCTGCCTCTGGTTCTTATGCTGGGGGTGGGCATACATCTTTTAATCCCTTTTTATTTTCCCCTCTAGAGAGGGCATCTCGCAGACAATGCTTCCTGCTGGGCCRCAAGGATGGAGCTGAAGAAGAGCAGGAGGGAACAGGGATGGTTCAAACCCACAGGCTGCTCCTGCCTACACTTACCTAACCACAAAGAGGGCAGGAGACGGGAATTGGGGAAGAAGAACACAGGGAAATACGTGGGGAAAAAACACAGAAGAGGCGCACGAGTTACTCCAAAGAGGAATTTCCTCTTTAAACCTTTACCTAAGGACACCTCAAAGCGCACAGATCACAGCGCTGAGTCTGCCGTGTAGATCTCCTCCGTGTGCTGCCGGTTTTATGTGTTTTTATTTAATGCACCTGGGGCTCTTCACCTGGACGCGGCGCTGCGTGCGAGACCACAGGGATGGGAAGAGCCGCCCGGGGAGCTCCCTGGCGGGACGGTGCCCTCAGCGCTYGCTATAACGCGGGGAGGAATGAAAACGAGGGGGAAAAACACAAAATAAGTAAAATAAAAGGAGCTAATCGGCCTCGCTAAGCCCATTAGCGCCAGGCTTATCGCGCTAATCCTCCTGCGGGGCGTGTTAATCCGCACGGCCGCCTCACCTCGCTCGCCGCCGCTGTCAGCCCGGCGCCCCCCTCATGGCGGCGGCCGTTACGCTCCCCCCCCCCGCCACAAACGGCCGTTGGGGCGCGCGCGGCGCCGCGTTCCCCCCCCCGCCCATCCCCAGTCCGCGCGCGCGCCCCGTTTCCCGCGCCCGGCCACAGCCCCGTGAGGCGAAAGGAGGGAGGGCAGAGAGGGCAAAGGGCGCGCGCCCATTGGCTGCGCAGCGGCGGGCGGCGCGCGCCCATTGGCTGGGAGGCGCCCGCCCCGCGGCGGYGGGGCAGCGGGTTAAATTCAAATCGGCAGCGGGAGCGCGCGCGGGGCGGGCGGGCAGCGGCGGCGGGAGGTGAATGTCCCGCTCCCGGCCGCTCCCGCTCCCGGCCTCAGGCTCCCCACCGCGCGCCGGAGCCGCTTCCCCCTTCCCGGCGCGGCGGTGGCGCCAAAGGATTTAAACCGGATCCCCGGGAGGCCCCGCCCGGCGGCGGCGGCCAATGGGCGGCGCGGGGCGGGGCAGGGCCGTTAGGCGCGCGGGCCGGGGCGGGCGGGAGAGGGACGGGGGGGTCCGGGGCGCCGCCGCTAACGCGTCTCTCCGCCGCCCCCGCGCAGCGACGCCCGAGCCCCCGGCGGCGGCAGGAGGCAGCGGGACGACATGGGCGACAAGGTAACGTCCCCGCCGCTGCCGCGGGGCGCTGACAGCGCGCGGGCGGCCCCGGAGCTTAACGGCGGGGGCCTCCCGCGGGGCTCGCCTCCCTGCATCCCCCTTTCTTTCCTTCTTAAAATAAAATCTGCCAAATCCCTCCTTCAGACCCTGCAGTGCGGCCTAACGGCTGCTTTCTCCCCGCGGAATACCTACCTGCAGGCGCCGCGCCGCCCTCCTAACGCCCGCTCCCTCCTTCCCGACGCAGGAAAACCGGCGGCCCGAGGCGGCCGCGACGCTCACGACGCCGCCCAAGGCGGCGGCAGCGCCCGCCGCCGAGCCCTGGACGCCCACGGCCAACCTCAAGGTGCTCATCAGCGCCGCGAGCCCCGAGATCCGCAGCCGGGAGCAGCGGCGCGCGCTGGCCGGCCTGCAGGTACGTGCGGCCCTCGGCCCTGCTCGCTCAGCGTGKGCAGCGCCCAGCTTGGGGGGATCACCCCCAAAATCCGAATGTTGCCTCATTGCAGGCTTTGATTTCTTGGTTTGGCTCCGCTCCTGTGGAGGACGAAGGTAGAGGGTTAGGCTACCGGGAAAGCTGTCTATACAGACACTAATTATAGCTATATAACTAGTTRTAAGTATATGTAGTTATCCATAACTATACACAGTTCTATATCAGCGGGGTTGTTCACTGGGGGGGCTTTTTTCTTCTTTTGGTGCAGGAGCAGTTATCCGGAGACGAATACGAGAGGTCTCAACCAAGCCGCAAAGAGAAAAGCCTCGGATTACTGTGCCACAAGTTCTTAGCTCGCTATCCTAATTACCCCAGCGCCGCCGAGAATAATTACATCTGCCTTGACGAAGTAGCAGAAGAGCTTAGTGAGTCTGTGTCTGTGTATACCCTACCGTGTGCTTCTTCACGGGGATATGCCAAGAAGCCCAAGATTGGGGTCGAGACGTTTTTGCTCAGTAAAACTTGAACGCTTACTGCGTATTCCCCAGCTTTCCCTTAAACCTAGCTTAAGCTGTCCATTCGTACAGCGACTGTATAAAGGGGCTGAAGTTTCTTCAGTGGACAGACTTGAGAAGCCCAGGATTCTGTTTAATACATTATTATCAGAGATACTACAAATAACATGCTGCACTTCTGGTGATCTAGGAAGGAAGCTTAAACTCAGGGGTTGAATTCTGTGGCACGAGCTCATCTTTCTCAAACTGAACCCTTAACTCCTGGTCCAATCATGACCTCAAAGCAAGGAGAGACCTTCTGCTCTCTATGATAATTTAACCAATTTTCTCATTTCGCTGATTAATTTCATCAGTGATTTACCTGAAGTCTAAGTTGCCGGTCTGCAGCTCCTTTGTAAGGGCTATGAAGTTACAGCAGCAGACACATCGTGAAACTGTTAAGAGTTACAAATTTTGCTATCGAAGTTTTGCTGTCAGTGCATCTTCAGATATGTTGGGAGACACAGAATGGAGATRAACCACAATCAAACCAAAACATCCATTCCGTTTGTCCACACACAAAATCACTAGTCATGTTTCAAAAATGAGTATCCAAAAATTATAATTTTACAGACGAAATAGAAATCCATCGCTTCTTTACAGGAGACCATATAAAAAATTTTTTTTTTACAACATTTTCCTGAAAATTTTGCTGAAAACTTTGTAAAGAGTAATCCATTAAGATGGCTTAGAAGTATATTAGTGTATAAAGAAGTAGTATACAGAAAACTGACCCCTTAATGTGTAAAGCAATACTTCAGGGAATGAAATTGCAGTAAATATGTCATATTGATGCCTTTTTTTCCTTTGTTTTTCCTTTTTCAGATGTTGAACGTAGGCGCATATATGATATTGTGAACGTGCTTGAGAGCCTACACATGGTGAGCCGCCTTGCCAAGAACAGATACGCTTGGCACGGGCGCCACAACCTCGCCAAAACGCTGCAAACCTTGAAAAAGGTTGGGGAAGAGAACAAATACACACAGCAAATAGAGATGCTCAAGAAGAGAGAGTACGAGCATGAATTTGACACGGATGGTGAAGGAAGTGAAGAAATGGCAAGATCTTTTGGCTCAGCTGAGCACTCAGAAATGTGTTTTGTTGAGCTCCCGGGGATGGAATTTCGTGCTGGTAATATTTCTTCATAAAGTCTGGAATTACATGTGTCTGTAGTTATAAGCATCTATGCAACTGGAAAGAATATTTATTGGCATTTTTTTTCTTTTTATTAAATACTACCGCCTGAAAAGCACTGTAACTTTTTCAGCTGTCTTAATCATTTGGTTCTTGCACAGGTTTTTGTTTTGGTTTTTACAGTGCAAGAATGAGGTGAAACTATCAAACACTAGATATTTTTATATGATATACAATTAAATTGTGTGTTTTGTTACTATTGGATGTTAAAAGCAGAAATGGCTCCATGAATTTTTAAAAATTATTCATGGAGGAGATGATTCCTTAAGGACAGTTAAGTCTGCAATTAAGAATTCTTTTAAGTTTACAACTAGTCAGATGATAGGAATGGTCAAGGGGAAGCGCAGTCCTTTTCTTCATTCTTCCATTTCGTATCCTAACTGTTACTGCCAAATATTTTTCACCAGATTTCTTCAGTATTTTAAGACTGTTTGCAGCTGGTCTGTCATCTAATGCTTTAATCCTTTCCCTCTCTGCTGCAGCATCAGTAAACAGCAGGAAAGACAAGTCTTTACGAGTGATGAGCCAGAAATTTGTGATGCTGTTTCTTGTATCAACTCCTCAAATAGTAAGCCTTGAAGTTGCCGCTAAAATCTTAATTGGAGAAGACCAGTTTGAAGACTTGGGTAAAAGCAAATTTAAAAGTAAGTAAAGTGCTGCTCCTGCTATCTGCTTTTTGATCTTCTAAATAAAAATATCAACTGTAAGCTAAATGAACTGTTCTGATACAAGATTTTAAGTTTGTAAAATACAATTCCCTTTTTCCTCCCATAAATTATTTTGAGTTTTGAGAAACTTACTGAGCTCCTTCCCTAACTTCTAATCAGGACTGACTTAARCATACATGCCATGGGAGAGAAGTCCTTTAAATCCATTCTCCAGGCAGCAATGCCACGAGGGTAATTATTAGCCAGAGTTTCTTTTTTTCCTCAAGTGATCTGTCAAAGACTTTCAGCATCGTTTCAGCAAAGATGTCCCAGCACCATGCAAATTAGTGTTCTGGTCATACAACTTGCTGTTCAGARATCTAAAGACATTTTGTAGAAGTCCCGTTAATAGTTTGCTTGTGAGAGGAAGTGAAAACTAATGTTTTAACTGCCAATTGTTTCTTCATTCTTTTAACCTGATTTTCAGTTCTTTCACTTCCCCCTTCCCATTCAAATGAACAGSTACTTCTAGGTCTAGGCCTGTATACTCATAATTAAAAAGGTGCCTGCGCTTGAGGGACTAAGAACGAATTTTGGGTTTCAATGCAAACTTCATCCTTCCTGGATTCTCCAGCAGATTYCACTGCCYGTTTGTTTGTTTGTTTATTTATTTAGTGAAACTATCAACAGAATAAAAAAAGTGATCCTTAGCACTTTCAGTTCATAATTTCTTTTCCACTACATCATGGCAACATAGAGTGAGTGGGTGGCTCTGTCTTTATGGTCACCCATGTCTTTATGGTCTTGTTCTTTCTTCTTCCTCTATTAACACCTGTCTCACAATAAAAGCATTTTCAGGACAGTCTTTCCCTGTCCCATGACTTGCTAGGCTTTTTTTTTTTTTTTTTTTTTTTTCTCTCTCCTAGCAGAAACAGTGGGTTAAGCACATTCACTTTGCAGGCAAAGAGTTCAGCTGCAATTTCCTTGCTGCCTAAACCTTGCTGCTAATAGYTGAGCCTGAACAGCTAAGAACAACATGCGGGATGATTATCCTGGTGGGTGTTTTCCATGCCCCCATATTCATCCTTTCCCTATCTATACCTGCTTCTTAAGCTACTTATTTTCTCTATGGAACTTGTACAGGTTTGRTCACTGCTCAGAGCTCCATTTCCCAGAGACTCATTTTGAGCAACCTTTGGAGTAATGCCTTTTCTTATCAGTATATTTGTTTTAGATGTTTTCTGTGTAAATCCATTTTAAATAGTAAACTTACAGTGAGATATGTTATTTCATAGCATAAATATCAGTTCCCCAAAATTGTGTTCCTAAAGAAACTTTACAGTTGTTGGACTGCTGCTACAAGAATGTCATACTGCTCTTAATCTGATGGATGGTAATTTGCTAAGGAAACAGGAGTGCTGTAGTTCACATTTGCTGCTTCTATTTCAGCCAAAATTCGGAGACTTTACGACATAGCAAACGTTCTCAGTAGCCTTGAGCTTATCAAGAAAGTTCATGTTACAGAGGAAAGAGGTAGAAAACCAGCATTCAAGTGGACAGGACCTGATGTCTTGCCAAATGCCCGGGGTAGGTGTATATTCCATTTTCCTGCCTCTCCTGCTGATGGATTTTCCTTGTTCCTTTGTTTTCACCTCCAGAAAATCTTTTTTGAAGAAGAGACAGCATAAGCTAAGGAAGCCAAGGAATCAAAGCTAAGTCTTTGATAAGTTACAGCCATGTAACCTGGTCTTTGACAACAGAGCATGCTAGTATATACACTAGTATATCAAATACGTATCTCTCCAGGCAGGGTATAGTCTCTTAKCAAGACTCCCACATTTCAGTTTTTGATGTTACTGGTATTCCAGTGTTTATAAATYGGGCTCTTTTAATTACTGGTGCTGTAATCAGTCAATGATATTTGCTCTTGGTTTTGTTCTGCTTTTAGATACAAAACTTGGAGCCAGCACTGCAACCTGGGTCCCACCTCTCTCGGAATCCATCACTTCCAAAGAGCAGTGTTCAAAAAACCTTTTTCCTTCAAGAGTCAAGCAAGGCTTTACACGGCATCCATCTCTAATAAAGTTAGTTAAAAGTATAGAAAATGACAGAAGGAAGATCCACTCTGCTCCGACCAGTCCAGTTAAAATAAGCACAAGTATGTAGCAGACAAAGTACACTCTGTACTTGTTTCATCTGAATATGTTCTTAACTCAGAAGGGTCTTGCATTAAACACTTTAGCTCACCATCCTCTTGTAGGAGCTATAAATGTGCTTGGGTAAGCACGCGTACAACATACACATGTTTAGAGGTGCCATAGATAGGACCAGATGGGGRAAAAGCAGTGCTGGTAAACCTGAGAGCTGACAAAACTTACAGTGAAAATAAATCTAAAAAGATCCACACTTAGTGAATAAGCTGTGCGGTTAGTAGCAATTCTTTTCAGTTTGATGGATCAAATTCAGCCACGGCTTAAACAGTTACAATAATGTAAATACATTMATTTAGGTCTGGCCCAAATTCAGTATGTTACAGCAGACTATTGTCTCCTCTTTTAACACTGAACAAGTTAGAGGTGCAATAGTACTTAAGCCGGAATTCAAGCAGAAAAATACTCTACTTTTTACTTACCTGAAAACTCYACTTTTTCAGGTTTTCCTAAGGTGTTCTGCAAAATTGCCAGAAATTTTCCTATCAGGGCTCCTGTTCTTAATGTGCATTGTCTTTGAAACCAACCAAAGCAACAGAAAAAAGCCTTGACCTGAGACTTTACAACTTACTTGATGTAAGGCTCACTCTGATCAAATCAAGGCYGGGCTGCAGCTTGATAACACAGAGTCTTATTGTCCTCTCATTAAATGTGTATGCATTAAACAATGCAGTCTGAAGCCTGAATTTAACTTCCCAAGCTGATGTATTATGAGCTTTGTTTTATTTCCCACCAGGCAGCAATGAGAATTTATCAAGTGTCCCAGGTAAAATGGCTCAGCTTGCAGCGCTCTCTAAACATCAGCTAGAAGGACAATCAAGGTAAGTTTACACAAGCGTTATGGGGAGAAGCTTTATTTTGTGCCTGGCCGTTAAGTTTAAGCTATGCTCAAGGCAGGGTTAGGCAACAGTCTCAAATGGCCTCTGATGCCACTTTATTTTTTATATGTTTTGTCTGAGGATATTTTTATTTCTAATTTGTTTGGGGGATAGAGAAGTACAAATCTGTGTTAAGCCTTAGTTTGGCAAACCATGATTTGTCAGGGCAAACGTGCCCGGCAGGGGATTGATTTGCTTGTTATTACCTTACTGACTCGTATTTAGGAATGCAAAAGAGCTGGAAGCRCAGCTGGCTTTGGAAGGTGCCCAGCGCTCACCACGGCCGCTGGGCGTCCTGCCCGCCGCGCCGCTGCTGCTGCCCCCCGCCCAGGCTGGCGTCTCCTACGCCATCTATCTGCACCCGTCGCAAGCCCCCGCCGTGACCACGTACAGCCCCAGCCTCATGCTGCAGCCTCTACCCTGCTCCCACGCGGCTGCCAGGACAGGGAGCAACGGCAGAGCAGCGAATGAAACACCCCCTGAAGGAGGAGAGGATCGCGTGGATAAAGGTGATCCGAGAAACATCCTGACAGCTGCCACCGGACAAACTGTGCAGCCTGAGGCCGTGCCACACAAGTGCCTCAAAAGATCACAAGCATTCCAAGAACACAGTCCGAGGAAAAGGTGTAGAAGTGATGACAAAAGCCCCAGTACTCTGGTAAGTTTTTTTTTTTTTAAATCTCATTTCATAGCTTAATGATGGTGCTGCCTCCTCTTCTCAAACTCATTTGAGAACCTATCAGATGATATAAAATTTATAAATACATCRCAAAGCTTGGTCGAGGAGTTCTCTCGTAAAGACATAATCCTTTAGTTGCCTTGAAGAGCAGTTGTGCTACAGCCTTGCAGAAACTTTGCAACATAAAACAACATTTGATGTTGTCATTTGAGAGCACCTGTTTCTGTGCCTTGGAGGAATAATTTTGGAGGTACGAAAACAGATAAAAAAACCCTGAACTGTCTGTAATTGCTCGCTAATGCAAATGCATCTGGAATAACAAAATGCATTTTGAATGACATTGCAGCTGTGAAACGTTATCAGTGTGTGCTGTGACAATGTCAGTGGCATCAAACACACACTAGCAGCAAAGGAGCAAGGGGGGATAACAGAGAAGGAATAAATATTAGTGGAGACTTATGACTGASGCTGTAAAGCCTGTCTTCTGCCAGGTCTACCTATGTTTTTGAATGTACTTTTTTAAAGGGAGAATCCATTAAAAATGAAAAACCACCTTCCAATGCTTTGCAGATTAAGCATGAAATGGACACGTCTGAGAAAGAGAGACCAAACCAAGTTGAAAAATTAGATCAAAACGTGCCACGTTGCTGCGACCAATGCAAGAGGGAAGCCGTTCCAGGAGAGGAGGACAGAACCAAAACTAAACAAGAAATACCTTTGGCATTTGCCACTCCTGCTCACGAGGTAAACTTTGTCAGGTACCACAGCGCCTCAAACCTTTCCCTGGAAAACCACCRCTTCCAGGAGCATTCTTTGCCAAACAAACAAAACTACAGTCAGTCCAGCCATAGATTAATTTTTGTTGAATTATTTTTCAATCTTTTAAAAACTTCCTGTAGTACTCTTCTATTTTGCATTAAGTATACAAATTAAGAGGAAATGAGATGACTGGCATAAAGATGGTAACTAAGACTCATTAGATGGAGGTACTGTTGAGATTCCATGTCTTCCCAGTCCTTTGCCTGTACAGTTTCAAATACTTTAATTTATAACAGAACCCCATAGAACTTTTTATATTTTAATAAAATTTAATATTCTGCAATTAGACTTGCTGCTCTAAAGAACTGCATTAAAGGGCAGTTTAGTCAACAAAAGCAGAGCGTGTAAATGCACATGCCAAAGAATACCATCTTCAAGGACGTGTCTTACCAAAACAAGATGCAGAGTGAGGTGACACAGTGATGACTGGGTCTAGATGTTTCTTTCGTTAGAAAAAAAGTCACTATGCAGAATTCTCTTGTGTCTAACTGCAATGTGTTAACGTGGAACRGATTTCCAGCCCCTTACTGAGGAGGGCCGCTGGGAATAGAGCCAGCCGCCTGCCACAGACTACAGTGGKCTTGTTCTAAGAAGTGACACTTTGACTCAGTGGTGTCTGACTTCAGGCATGAAAGGGCCTGGAATACGGAGTCCTGGGAATATGGYGGATAAAGAACTAAGGGCAAGGGAACAGGAATATGGAGAATAATGAACTAAACGAGTGCARCTCTGGGGAAGGGCTTCAAAAAGGCTGCTTACATCGCTGAGTATAAGTGACTGTATCTTTCTCTTCCAGACTTGTTTTCCATCTCGCTGTCTTATTCCTTTTCCTCAGTGCATCCACCACGGCAACGAGGCAGGTTTCTCTAACAAAGAGAAAGCTGGGATGTGCCTGTTACAGCACGCTCCCTACAGCTCGCCCATCGCCGGTGAGTACTGAACTAGATACACACGTAGATCTCTGTCTTGCAGGACTGAAGGATAAACTTAGCCGACTCGGGTCATTAAATCACTGCTACAGTGGTCCAGCGTCAGCTTTTAATCCCCTCCCCTCCTTGATTGTTTTTCATCTTTAGGTGTGATTCCCGTGACAGCACCGGAGCTGAAAACAGTGAACATTCCTGCTTTCCACATAACACCCTTGAATATAATGCTCTCACCCACCTCCATCGCTGCTGCGCCGGTACTGAGCAACTCCTGTATCCTTTCAAGCAACACGAGCCCTGCCCAGACTCCGAGTTCTTCAGTTCTGAACTTCACGCTGCAGCATTTAGGACTAATACCTGCTGAGGTGCACGTTCCTGCAAATCCTGTTCTTCAGCACATGACAATCTCTTCAAACCCAGAAAGCGTTAGCCATAGCTCAGAAAACACAAAATTGAAAGAAGAGAAGGTAGGTAAAAATATATTGAACTTCCTGGCCAGTGCAGGTACTTTACTTAAACTTCTGCCCTGCTGCAAAAACCTGGAGTAACAGACAATGAAAGGCAAGCTTATTACAGGCTGGAAAGCAAGAGCAAGCATCATTTTTCTCGGGGGGAATTGGAGGCAGTTTAGTTGAAGGATGACAGAATGCGAAGAGAACTCTCTTAAAGACAGTGTGGACAGATCTGAGATGACATCTATTTACAGAATCTGCATTTGTTACATCTCATTACTCTCCTAACTCTTTCCCGAGGACTTTTTCTTTTTTTGTAAATTGGATAAGCTTGATAGAGGACTAAACAAAAATCCGTAGAGAGAAATCTACACCTTTATGCCTAGCTTAGGCAATATTGTATTGCCTAAGGTGTGTTTATACTCACAAAAAAAAGATTACAACAAAACAAGATTTTTTTTTCTAAACACACAGATATATACACAAAAATAGATAACCGCAGTACAGAGTTGTTAGGTTTTTAAAATGTTAAAAAATATGGAAACCTAAAGCTAGAATTCACTTCTTTTCAGTGCAACTAACTTTCTCTCTTTCTCATCGTTTTAGCCAAGTGGTCCAAAGGAACCCCAAGAGCTTCAAGCAGCGCAAGAAAACTTTTTCCGCACCCCAGGAGGGCCAAACACAGTGTCTTCCTTTTCTGCAAATTCAGATGGTACTGATGCAATTTCTCAAGGAACCTTGTACATTCCTCAAAGAAAACTTGAAGTGTCAGAAGACTAATTTCAGGATATGGAGTCGCTGAATGTGTTAGCAGACAATGCTCCACACCTCTAGGATCATATAATGGACAGGGTTTATTGTGGAGGTGTATTGGCAAGACCTCACTGCTGGAATAGCCTTAATTAGTACTTTAGAATTTAAAGCAGCTCTTTATGGGAAAGTTATTGTCTAATATTTTTTGAAAAAGGCTCATCTAAACTGTCTTAGCAACCAAGTTAGATATCTAATATTTTCTGTGTTGCTTTTCCGCTATGCAAAGCAAGCTGAAATTGATTTTGTACAGAAAGGTACAGTCTGTAAGTCAGTGCATATTTTGCACAAAGGAAGTACTGTGAGCATGTAAATATTTTGTCTTAACAAAAAGGCCATAGTTRCAGTTTCTTTCACTTCTTTGTTCAATAATGCTCTTTTGTAAAGTTAGTAAAAACAACAAAATGAAATTTTACATAAACTTGATTAAATTAAGAATTATTTATACTGTATTTTAAATAAATTTGTTCTGATTAAGCTTACATGACCCTGTCACCTTTTGAGAGTTTTGCTTAATTTAATTTGATTAACAGTTAAATAACATACTATACAAGCCCTAGCATCTTTTTTTTTTTGGCCAGAGAGGGATAACTCCATCTTCTGAAGAAAGAGAGAATGGTATCTTACCCCAAATTGATTTTAATCTAAAGTTAACTAGATTAGACTTTCTGAGACTAGAGATTACAACAGGGAACAGAGGAAGAGATTTACAAAGTCTGGAATTCAAAGCAACCTTGTCCCATGTAAGTCTTCTACCACATGCAAGACCAAGTGTCACAAAATGAGATGTTACCTAGTTCGGAGAGTTAAAGAGAACCTGGCACCAACACAAGTCAAATGCCAGCTGGGAATCCTCCTTCCCAGCAAACACAGGGCAGACRAAAGCCTGACCACAACCATACACCCTCTTTGCCTCTGTTCTCCCCTGAGACACAGGGCTGAACCAGATGCTATATACTAGTCATTATTAATAGCTGGAGAATTCCTGAGGCAAAACTTCAGTTAAAAGCTGCACTTCTAGTTCCGGTTTTAAATTCTATTCTCTCTCCAGAAGGAGGGTCAAAGTGTAAAATTCATCTTTGTCTGCCAAAGGAGCTTGTCCATTGCAGAAACCACGGGTCAACTAACGGGCTTGCTTTCTAGTAATACAAGCAATTTTGGATAATACAAAATAGATCTGACTGAAGAGGAGAGCTCTTAAAAAGCTGCKACAAGATGGGGAAAAAAGCAAAAGCTGGGAAACAGAGCACTTCACTGCAGCAGCGAGCAAAGCTTTTCCTGTTCTCCTTTAAGTGATAATTAATCAGATATTCACCTTCCTCACGCTTTCTTCAATCATTTTTACTCTAGTGAGGACAAAGGCAAAGATTTACAGAAACTTGCATTAGGCAAAGGAAATAAACTTCAAAACTCACTTTTTTTTTTGAGACTGTAGTAAGCAGAAGAAGAAAAAATGTAATAATTAGGTTTTGCAAAAGGCTCTTGCCACAATTCCTATGCTCTGCTGTGAAAGCTGAACACTTATTCCAATTTYCTCTTGAGCATTCCTGGGCTCCTGCTGAATTACAGTCACTTGTTTTTGCACGTGGGCTTTCTAAAACTCAGCTCTTTGCTTTGTTCTTGCTCCTTTTGCAGGCAGAAGCGCTACCTTCTCCCTCCTCAAAGTATTTGATTCCCCAGAAGAGCCGGGTCTCGCTCTGACTAGCTGAGCTCACTGCTCTTCCCACCTCTCCAACGTGACCCGACTCCTCGATTTACTCCATTGCCAACCTCTAGGCAAGTTCCTCAGATCTTCAGACGAGCTTCAGTTTTCATAGGCTGCATTCCAGTTTTCTGAGCAGTGCTTTTAAGCTCCGCCTTTGATTTACAGAAAACAYAGTCCTGCTCCACCAGGAATATGAACACTAATGCATCTGCACACACCAATTGCTTATTTCAAGTCTGTTTCTACAATTTTAAGCTCTAATACTCCAATTTTAAGTACCTTCAAAACAAGATTACCCTCTAAATCTGTAAAGCACTTAAAGAAGTGAACACAAACCTTCTTACCCTTCCATCTCCCCCTCTCTAAACTGACTGCAATACCATGCATGTCCAAGGGGCTCGGAGAGGTTTGACAGTCACTTACAAACGCAACGATTAAATATGCTAATGTCAGCTACCGGTCTTAGTGCTTAAAAGAAGCACGAATTTAAAAGTGATAAGCATAATTCCCCTACTAAAAAACTTTTCGCAGTTACAAAGTTGTGAACTACTCATTAGTAGTATTTGGTTTAAGATCGTTGAGTCCCAGAGGTGCCTGCAATCAGCTGTTGATTTTTCTAATTATTTTCTTAGATTATTTTTGGCAATGCAATCATTTCTGACTCATTCCGGGAAGCGCTGTTTTAAGACTCACGTTTAAGCCCTTTAATTGCAACACTAACGTTTCAGTCCTTCAGTACGACCCATCAGAGCCCATTTGGAAATGCCTGTAGGCGCAGTCGGAGGGGCTGCGTTGCTGTCCACCAGCTCACGAGGGAACAAAACGCCAGGCTTTTGTCAGAGGTTATTTTCAGCCCCATGATAGCAATGGCATTGCTGAGATCCCTGAAGCCCTCGCTCATTCCCCTCCCCTCCCAGCTTATAGGGCCCCCAGTGGTGGCCACTGCATTTAAAGAGCGCAGGAACCCCTCGAGTTTAACTCAGACAAAGAAAGGGGGAAGAAACATCAGCCTGCTCTGGTAAGTGCAGTACAGGGGGTTCTGCAAGACTGTTTGGTAAAAGGATTGGGGTGGGGTTTTTTTTGCTTTACCAAGAGAAAAATGAGTAGGTATAGCATGGAACGGGGGATCCTAAAGAGCTGACAGCAGTATCACAGGTTTGTATTAGCCAGCTGGTAAGAGATTCTCGTGGATCTCAACTTCTTCTACGGCTCTTAGCATTACAGGAAGAGAGCTGGGGCAATTCCCCTCCATGAGATAGGCATGTGTTCTACATGGAGGATGGAATAGCTCAGAAAGTGCACAAGTCTTTCAAAACTTTGTTTCTAAGAGAAAGASTCACATTTTCCAGATTCTCTACCTTAATATACAAGCTTTCTTCAGTATACGCATTTACATGCTTCCAAAAATTCTCATTAAGACAGGAAAAGTATTTTAAAGCTTAAAAAAGTCATTCAAAATATCCCATATTGGCCACTAATTGGCCCTGTATATCAGAAGGACATTTCTATGTGAACTTCACTGAAGATCACTTAAAGAAAAATAGATGAAGAATTCACATGCTCATTCCATCAAGATATCATGATTGGCCAAGCCTTTAGAGAAAAAATAGTTATGTAATTATCTACTTTATTTTTCTCTATCCAAAATGATAAAATTATTTCAGAGAATGAARCCCATCACTTAAAATAACTCTGGGTCTGGTCTCAATCATCCTGGCAGTATTTCAAAGGCCATAAGAGGTTTGCTTGGGACTAGAGTACACAGATAAGGGTGTCAAGACGAGACTGTAGAAGGAAAAGTTAGAGTAGAGAGCACAGGATAAGGCTGGGGAAGGAAGCGATGGCTTGTACAGCACGATGCAGCTTCCCGCAGCCACGCAAATCAAACTGAACTCAGTGCTCGCAGGCTGGGAGGGTGAGCTTTTTAAGTCAAGACTATGTGTCTGGTTCTAGTATCAGCRTATTGCATCTCAGGGAGATGTCATCTTAAATTTCTGCAAAAGTCTTCACCCAAACTGTTTTAATAGTATATCTTCACCCAAATCTTCACCCAAACTGTTACCACGCCAGAGAATAAGACACTACTGGGAAGGAGACACAGGGATAAAAGGAAGCGACTCCGAGACAGGACTTTGAGTTCTTCTATCAGCTTTGCCCCTCACTCGCTTCTTATCAAGTCACTTAAAGCCTTCTGTTTGGAAAGGACTAGCGTAACTCAGCGTGACCAGGGTCAGGTAAAATGGGTATTTACTTTCCTGTGCCATTGTACAAAATCCCATCCTTTGATTTCTATGCATTGGCTTAATTCAGAAGTATAGGAAAAATGCTAGCCAACATAAGATGGGGTTATAGATTAGTAGCAACACATTAATTCATAAACCCAAACTTTTACCTATATCCATAGAGCACATGCACATACAGGAAATCTCTATAAATACATAACCACATCAATATCTTTCCCCCAAACGAGCTCACTCCTCAACTGCAATCATTTTCTCTGTTGTATAACTATTCTGCTGAGAAATGATGTTTTCTGCAATGGATTAGATTTGGACCAAAACACCTTGAGGCCTTTTCAGATGCAGTGACAGGATCTGTGCTCTGCACAGCAGAAACACCAAGATTAAACATGACATCGTGAGAAAAAAAAAAAAGAGTGGTATTTAAGCAATACTTTTAAACAGAAGTGAATTGTGTTAATATATTTTTAAATCAAACACGGCTTTTGCTGATAAGAAATACCTCACTTAATACAATGCTAAGCTGACAGGGAAAAAAAAAGATATTAAATAACCTAGAAACATTTAAAAGCCTTCATCTTCTTAAAAAGATCCTGCAGAGGAGACTCAATTGCCCTCGGTGCCATTTCGATGCTCCTCTGGTCCTTCTGTTGAAGCCACTCAAAGCTCTCTGCAGAGGAGATATCCCCGCTGTTATCCCCAGGGTGCTGGCGAAGGAGCGAGACTAAGGTCAAATGAGTCACTGACGGGCACGGGACAGGTCAGCAGTAAAACCGGCCTTATCTGTGCTCCCCTCCCTGCCAAACAGCAGTGATTTCTGCATTTTCTATAAATATCGCTTGAATCCTAGACCACCAAATACATATGTATTTAGAATGGAAATCCTAGGGTTTAGGAAGGCAACAGCTTTTTTCCCCCCCCACACACATCTTTTTCATCGGCATTGCCTATCTAATACTAGGACTCTCTTTTAAAGAACTATTCTCTCTGAAACCATGTAAAGCTGGTGCTGCGACTGYTTCCCGTTTAGATCAATGGATATAAATACATTTTTGGACTATGTTCTTACCAATGGCACTCTACTCAGAGTGACATAGAAGCTCTGCGACACTTACGTGCATGAGCTTTATATTCCAAATCACAGGGATTTTTTGCATGCCTGTGAAGAGCACGGAAGTGATTCCAAGGCTTCTCAGCCCGAGGCGAGGCTACCRAGCGAAGTTATGAGCTCTAACTCAAGCTAAGCACGGATCTCGGGCTGCACACCCCCAGCACATCAACAGTGTCCTACCCAACAGCCGCGTGTTGGAAGGAAACGATCCGGGCTGCTGAACGCTGAYGCAGCCAGGCCAAGAACACTCCTCCGCTTGGCAGTGCCATAAACGCATTGCAGAGCCTGGCATTACTAATATTAAAAAGTCCCTCTGTCACATATGGAATATGCCTATAGATCTACTTCCTACCAGAAAAACTCAATATTTGCAGAGGAGGCCCGAGCAAGAACACAAACACAGACTTGCCCCAGGTCTCGGCTGGCCAGTGCAGCCATCGTTGCCATTCCTAGGCCAGTGTCCTTAAGGGAATGTTTTTTACTGTGACTTCTTTCTCCTACAGCTTCCCATCAGGTGATGGCAAAAAAACATGGAAAATGTGCCTGCATGCCCAGTCACGTTGCTATAATTAGCCACAGGAGCAAAGTTCTTTGAAGAGCTCTAACCAAGGCCTGTAAGGGCACCAGCTTCACTATCAAACGTTATCAGACTTTTCCAGAACTAGCACTTCTTTTTTCTCTCTTGTTCAGCTAATGATGTAAGCAGGACTGCTTTCAAACAAGTATCCTGTTGCCACACTTAAGGAAACTTTCCCTTGTGCTTAAGATTTGATTCATCGCTTTGTTTTTAGAAGATGGGAAACAGGCACCAATACCAAAATGCCAGAAGAGAAAATATCAAATGGCCAAATAAGACATTAAGATTTTGCCTAGGTGAAAGATTGCTTCCTGCTTCTTTATCATTCCTCCAACATATAGCTAAAAAGGATTTTAAATCACTATTCAGTGAAGGGTTTACTGAGCAAGAGACACCAACTTCACAGTTTGCTCCTTGCATGCCACCATTTTCATTCCTTTTTCCAACCACATCAGATTCTTGCTTTTCAGTCATTGCACTGCAGATCCACGGAGTCGGTGGCGAGCTGCGCTTTCTCCCATCCCTGCACYGTGACAGTTCCTGAGTGTCAGGGAAGCTTCTCCTCGACAGCCTCCCAGAGAGCTGTCAGGGTCTGAAAGGGATTCATGATGCAGTTGTTATGTGACAGCAGAGGACAAGACTGAGCCAGGGAGCTTGCTCAGCTAAGCATAAAGCTGCTTTGCAAAGAGAAGGAGAGAGGGTCTCATTCCTGGATGGCAGGAATGCTGCCTAATGCAGGTAGTGGTCACGAAAGGGAATACGTGATTAAAGGGGGTTAAGGTCCGACGCAACACCAGAGTGGGTTTGTTTGGTTACACTAATATCCACAGCGGTATCAAATGCCAGTTGCTAAAACTTGCCTGTGGCGCCGCGTCTTCAGTGCTGCTGCTTCAGCATGAGCACACGCTCCTAGGCTGCAGGGCCCTCCTCCTTCTTCTGGGGCCTTCACTTCAATTTTTAGATTTAGTGACCAGAAAGAGCTCCTTTCAGTCTCAAGCTGAGCTYGAGGCATGCGCACACTGGAGGTATTCATTTTCATTCTGAAATTTGGCAGTGCAGCAAAGAACTCCTTAAGATGATGGCTAATAACAGACATTAGCGTCTAACATACAGACACTGTAAGCCTAAAATTCAACATATTTCAAATAAAGACCATATTACATCACAGCTGTGATAAACCTCCCCCTTTCCTTTGAGACCCAAAGAAAAGTCTCCTGTACTAGGCTTCACTCAGCGTTCAAAATCCTTTCCTTAGTTCAGGATAGCTCCCACTGAATTCACTCAAGCCCATCAGGACAAGCAGCTTCAGAAGAACTATAATAAGAAAGTGACTGACTTTCCCAGAAGGATAAGAAAGGCCCGAGCCAGGCGCTCGGAACAACCTGATAATGCAGCGTGCAGATGACAAGATGACAGCCCAGGCTTTCCAGAAACGATGACTCAAACACCGRGAGAGCGGGAGAGCTGACCGCTGGCGCAGGGGTTGGTTCAGCTGCGTGATAGCGTGGTCACCAGGAAGGGCACCGGGTCTGCAGTCAGCTCTGGCTGTCACTTCCCTCTCAGGTGACCTTGGGTAAGGTGCTCAGCTAATGGTAACGGAAACAGTAAGCAGCCCAATCTTCACTTTTCCCTCAGATGTCTGTGTTGTAAGAACGACTGACAAAGAAAAAGAGGCCTGRGGCACCTTAGGAAATGAGCTGTTTTTACAGATCCTGTCATGGTTGTTCAGCACAGGGATCTCGCAGGCGTTTTACAAGAAATTTGGAAGAGCCACAACTTGCTTTTCCCCAAAGTTTCCTCTGAAATAAAACCAACTGTTTAACCTCACGGTGAAATTCCTCAGGTGTGAATGGTACGATGTTACCCCTTAAGTCAAAAATTGTACTGCTGGTCATAGAGGAGAAGAGGTTGTGGAGGGATTGCTCCATCTCTCTGCTCCCAGAGAAGCCACTAGAGTAAAAAATAACCTGCTCTGCTTAAAGCAATTCATTTCTGCTGYCAGATTAACTTCTGTAATTCGATTTTGCTAGGTTACGCTTCGCATCTAAGGATGCCGAACTGGGGAGGTGGAGCCAAGTGCGGCGCCTGCGAGAAGACCGTGTACCACGCCGAGGAGATTCAGTGCAACGGAAGGAGCTTCCACAAGACCTGCTTCCTCTGCAGTGAGTCGGGCTAGGCTGTGCGATCCTCACAATGTTTTCTCACAATAGCTCTGCTCAAATCTAAAGCTAGCCAATTTACTCCCATGCTACTTTGCTTCTCAGCAGAAAAACAGAGTTCCTTCAGTTCAAAGTATTTGCTTATGGGACATCTATAGTGGGTCCTAAACGCCACCGAGGAGCTAGTTCCATGCAGTTTGATGCAGGGGCAGTTTCAGGGGATACGTACACCTCGCTTCCTGGAGAGCTCACAGAGGAAACCCACCACAGGTTAACCAACTCGAGCAGAGCGCAGCAGGATTAGAGCATCTCTAGAGGTCCCTTCCAACCCCAACCATTCTGAGAAGACTGACTGTTGTCCAGCAGTTTCTAGAAACCTTAGGAGTCCTAGGAGGCCCAAGACAACACTCCTAGACGAGCAGCCATGTATCACACACAGCTTTCAACTCTGAGGGGGAAGGGAGAAGAGGAGGGAGCAAGGACTCACAAGCTAGTTTGCTCAACTGCAGTTCATTTAAACTGAGAATCAGTTCAGAGGAAAGGTCCTCTTCTAGCAAACCTTTTATTTAACCCCAAGAGACAGCATCCACCAAAGATGAAACCTGTTTCCCAAGCTTTTAGGAATTGCAGAGATGAGAACTACCATTTTCAGATGAAGCAGGAAGTTCTCTGCTCCAAAGCAGCACTTAATAATCCAGTCTAGTTTCCCAAACCTTTGCCCCAGAGTAATACATTTCTTGGGATCTTCTCTCCTTTGAGACATGGATTCAATGGGTTTCGTTAGGGACACCAGATCACCACACATCACTATCCAGATTAATCTCTACAATCCGTCCCCACAACGTAGCTTATTACAGGTTTGTTTCAAATTAGAAAGTCTAGAAGAACTGAATAAATAGCACTCATAAGAGGGAARGTCATGCTATCAATACGGGAGACTTATTAATTTTATGGTGAATCCTAACATTAACTGATTTCACACAGGAACAYGAGTCACCAAAATCTCCCACCAATACCCCATCGGGCACGTGAGGCTCCTCCTCTTCCCTCTACTGCATATCTTCCCATTCACTTACTCTTTTACTCCACACACTCATACAATGCTTGTCAAACAGCTTTCAGGAATTGCTGCTGTCTCAACAGATGAGACACTAGCAGGAACGATCCCAATTCGGTTACACCTGCCCTTTGCAGAGAGGGTAAACAATGCGATAAGGGCTGAGGACAGTTAAATAGATTATTTTACTTTGCAGACAATGCTTGAGGTTCAGGAAGTCTGCAGTAAGGATACCAACTTGTTAGCTGAGAAAACACGGAGTCTGGCAGCAAAGTAAGAAGATTCTCCAGAGACTAATAAAAATATCCAACTGCCCTACTAGGGCTTATTTAATGAAAATTTGCTCCCATGTGTTTTCTCAGMCATCTAAAACCAAAATAAGCTCTTCATTTTTTGCCCTCGCTTGTTTGTTTTGATGAATTACAACACGCATCCATTTCTTAAGTTACAAGTCTGAACCCGACTATTTACAGGGTAGATACCAAAGCAGTACTCAAACAGAAGCACGTTCAAGGTAAAAAGTTAAAGCTGCATCTCAGTGTAGTTAGCATACGAGAGGTATGTTATTTGGTTTTACTTTTCCCATCACACACACGGATTATCAGCTCCAAACTAGATGGTTTGGTTTCACACAGCATGGCTCTTTGCTGAGCCTGTTGTAGGAATTTTTTGCCACCAAAGAAAAGCAATCTTTGTCCCCATACCCAATCTCAGATAGCTTAGCTAATAGGATGATTAATTGTTGCGTTTTTATCATACTTGACCAACAAAAAGGTCCAGTATTTTTGGATGAAAAGGTTTAATTTGAATAAAATAAGCATTTTGAACGAAACACTTAACATAGTAAGATTGAGCCTAAACTATAAAGTTTGGTATGAGCAGGATGACAGAGAGGCCATCCCCATGAGATGTCCCTTTCTGAGCAGATTACTGCTTGCCTGCCTGCCTTCCCTGCCAGGCTTTGCTTGCAAAGCAGCTGTAATGGGCGCTTGGCAGCATCACACACCATAAACCCGAAACTCCCGAGTGCTGGCTCATGAACAGAATCTGTCCAGAGATGACAGGGCTCAAAGTTATTTCAACAATAGCACTTCAAGGGCTTTTGCTCCATCTGTTGTGGCAAATTGATACTCTGCCCCTCAGGTGCCAAAAATAGAAGCACTTTATCTACCGCTAGAGTTTCTATCATCCCTTAGCTCCCTTAGCAAGCGTAGTCATCAAAGCAGAAGAGAGCATAGCAATAAGTGATCAGGTTTAACACATCCACAGAAGCCCCTAACTTTATCTCTATTARCTAAAAAATGTTCTTTGTAAGTTATCCCACCCCTCAAAACACACACAGTCTGGTGACAAAAATAAAACCGCACTGGTTCCAACACAATTTAAAATTCTTAATTTAAATTAATGCTTATCAAGATTCACAGTAGGACAGTTAAAATAAATGTGAAAAGATGGACTAATTGCAAGTCAGCTTACTTTTCTAGAGCTTGATGTCTGAATATCTTCACCTGCTTGTGCATTTCAGGGGTCCTGTAGGCAACATAAGCCCAAGTGACTTTTCTTTCCAAGGAATCAGCAGCCCATGGATGATTAGGGAACTGTGTGGTGCACACGTTTGTTCAAAGGACATTGGAGAAAGAAAGACTCTTTCCTTGTTTCTTCTTTCCCTCCCCTCCTCTGACACAGCGACCTGTTTGTAAAATAGGACTAACTCTTGACTCTTTCAAGTTGAGGCTACATTTAAATGGTGACATGGAGCATATAGCTTGGACTCCATTACAAGTGTTTGGCATTCCTATGGTATCTTCTATTCCAAAACCTTCAAGACTTTCCCCAGTGAGCTAAGCTATGTGATATTTCTCTGTACCAAACTGGAGTGGGAAGAGGTCTCTATTTTTGGCACTGCCAAAATCACGTTCTTGTCATCCTGAAGGAACTCCATTGGAGTTGAGACTATCAGGTATCAGCCCCCTCAAACCAACTTCCATGCAAATGTGACCATATAAAGCATGCCCTGCTTGATTTCTTTTTTATACACTTGCAAATTTTACTGCAGAGCAGCTCACAGCGATTCTGTCTGTGCCACGTGGATTAAAGCTTCAAGCAAGGATGTCTCGCAAGCTTCAATATTTCAACAATAAAGTTGACTATACACGCACCAGAAAATTTTGCTCATGGCCTAACGGAGGATCAACAATACAGTATTTTGGCACTAAGAATAAGCACAGTGTGTCATACTGTTGGTAGGATACTGTTACTGTTTGTACTTACTAAAAAGAGGGGAACAGCAGAGGCCTGAGCACATTGATAAACTGAACTGGGATCACCAAGTGGTTTGGTATATTTATATGCAACTCTCCTATTTTTGAAACAAAAATAAACACTAACTGTATTTACTGTGAGCTACATCGTAAGCACTTGTATATTCCCATCTGAGTTGTGCGTCACTTTTCCAATTTKTAGTGGGTTGCAGAAAAGCTCTGGACAGCACCACGGTAGCAGCTCATGAATCCGAAATCTACTGCAAAACCTGTTACGGGAGGAAATACGGTCCCAAAGGTATCGGCTTTGGGCAAGGCGCGGGATGTCTGAGCACCGACACCGGCGACCACCTGGGCTTGAACCTGCAACAGTGAGTTAAAAATCACTAACAGCATCCGCTAGTTTTCTGGTGCTACTTGCTCTGGAGCAGAGCATTTTTTAGCTATTTCATTCAGTTTCCATAACAACATGTAGCGAAAGGAGCAGAGCATTTTCCTACAGCTTTTTGTCCACGGATACAGTAATTTTACCAGGTTTTAATAATGTTCAGTCTCTTTAAACCTTCTTTGTAGATTATTTCGTTCTTCAGTGGGCAATTATTCTATTCTGTAGAAAGAGCCTTTACATGTTATCACAGACCCACAAATTCACTGCAATTGTAGTTTGCTATCCGCAGCACAATGATAAAAATCACATTCACTATAAAGCTATAGAGACTTTTTTCCTCCCTTTTTTCTCTCTCCATTTTTCCCCTTCCTTTAAACCTGTCAGAGGCTGAAATATACTTAGGTTTTACTGTTATAGAAATAATCACAATCCCACATACTCTCCTTTTTTTATAGGAAAATAACRTCTCTAATCCTCCCTATGGCTTGAATACTGTTTATAAAAACACAGAGAATATGACTGAACAAAGGAATCCTAATGGGACACCATCTTCAAAGGGCCTCAGCTGCACATAATTATCTCAGTACATTTTTATAGAGGTTTTTTTATTATTTTTTTAAATGATTCTCTGCACAGTCCCAAATCAACAGTGCTTTCTTCTGACATTACCGTAACRAAGCCAATTAACAAATGTAAGTTTGTTTCCTGCATAGCATAAGCGGTTGCAGTTAAATGCATTTCTTTAAGATATTCACCCATTATGGATATATTTCTCTGTACTGGAAATCACTTCCTGTGGGTTAACGACCTGTTGCAGTCCACCAGTCTAGTAATTCAGAAGTCATAGACTTAGGCTGACATTACAGACATAAAGCACGGTAATTTTCTGAAGCTTTGACCCTGGCACCAGGCAGGGCTGCTCCTTGGCCAAATGAGAACCACAGTCACTTGTCAAAACCTGTCCAAATTGCCAAGTGCCCAGAGAAAGAAGAGCATGCAAACCCCGCGGTTCTTTGAGAGCTGCTTGCTACTGAGTACTAGCACCCGGCCAGTGACCAGGATCCCAGATCTGCTCACATACTCACATACTTTCACCTCTCAATAAAACAGTTTGTTTTGGTTTGTTTTTTTTTACCTTTGCTTCTCATTAAATACAATCTCTTACACACCTAGCTGCTGTCAGCTCCATGTAGATCTGCAACCAGCTGCTACTCAGCCCAGTTTAGGAAACAGGTTACGGTATCAAAATCRCATTTCTTGAATGAAGATATTATAAGCAACGTTTAACTGAAAACTTCTGTTTTAGGGGATCACCGAAGCCTGCTCGTCCTTCTACACCTACTAATCCTTCAAAGTTTGCCAAAAAGATAGTAGATGTGGATAAGTGTCCCCGCTGTGGCAAATCAGTATATGCTGCGGAGAAGATAATGGGGGGAGGAAAAGTAAGTAGCAGTTACTAAAACAGCTTCCAAAAGTGGTGATGAATTATAGYTAACTCATCTTTAAATTTTTGCTCATGGTCTTGATGTCTTGCAACAGTAGCTGAGAAATGCAGAATCCTCACTTGAAGGAGGAATATTCACAGACCCTCCTTAAACCCAGCAACAAAACCCAAAACTAACAGCTTCACACACTTCAGCCTTCACTGCTCCATCCATCCCCAGCACTGTGGAAAAGTCTGGGTAAATACTTCTCAAAGCTATTGCTTTACTAACAGCAGCAGCTTTTGGCCTCTACTAATTTGGAGCAAAATTCAKGTTCAGAGAACCTATCTACTGAAGTTACATGAATTTAGCATGACTGAAAACAGAAGCAGTTAAGACCAATAAGCCCATTTTACTTTCTTTACACCATCAAACACAATTGTTTGTCATCTCACGTAGCTGTGAGCTAGGTATTTTCTGTACCCTCACCTGAGCTGTCTCCATTTCCTCAGCCATGGCACAAGACGTGCTTCCGCTGTGCTATTTGTGGAAAGAGTTTAGAATCTACAAACGTTACAGACAAAGACGGAGAGCTCTACTGTAAAGGTAAGAACTGCAGTGAGCTGAGCTGGGCTACAGAGTCAATTTTTCTCAGATTATTCTGTTTAGACCTAGTACAGTCATCGTGATTTATCTTGCTACATGCCTAGCAGCTTCATCAAATTGCATTTCACACTTTTCTAAAAAAACTTTCAGAAAAACAGACAGACACATCTTCTACTTTTAATATCTACATTTTAAAGATGTCCTCTACAAGTATGACATCTTCTGAAATTTGCCCTATGGCCTCCTAACAGAGATCACTGGCTGTACCTGGTGGGCACATACCTGTACAAACTCACTCCAAAGTCCACAAGGACATGGACCTTTATAGGTCTTCATTCTGAAGTCACGGTCCTAACTGGATGTCTTTCAAGCATGAGTAAAAGATGCTTCATAGATAGCAGTAGCACAGATGTTGCTTTTGTGCTATATTATACACCCATTATTATTCCCCACCTGTTTTTTTTGCAGTTTGCTACGCAAAAAATTTTGGTCCCAAAGGAATTGGTTTTGGYGGTCTCACTCAAGTGGAAAAGAAAGAGGATGAATGAGAACAACTGGACCCAACAGACTTCAGCTGCTATTGAAACCACCAAATGATAGTTGCCAAGTAAAACAGTAAACATGACATAATGRCAAGAACCTAATGCATTATATTTGATGTTCTTCACCTTGCAGAAAAGATTTGTTTGCTTTTATTGTACGAAATTCATAGAATAGCTTAAAGAGCAAATAAACTAGATTCATGCTTATGCAGAAAATAAAAAATGCTAATTATAACGTTATTGCTTTTTAAACCAGTATTTATCAAGCCTTAGGCTGGATCTTTAAAGACCTGGGACACTCTACTGCGCTGATTTAAGCCACCTTTCCCTCTGTTTAGAATATTATGYTGCTTCTACCAATTTCCTAGTGACATTCTGAACAATTTGACATTATTTGTATTACAGCAAAGCAGCTGTTATGCAGTTTGAGACAGTTGATGAGGATTTGAAATTCTCTAAGAATGAGATATTTCTGAGAAGACATTTTCTTAGAATACAGTGCTGCGCTGTTTTATGTTTTCACGCTACAATAAAGTACTGAGACAGCTTTCATGTTATTTTGTTTTGCTCGGTCTTTGTGTTCTACACCACTGCAGATTAATGCATTTCAGCAAGATAAATAAAATCCCTCCCCTTCCTTAGCTGCAGGAATTCTAGTTCATTACCCTGTTTTACCCTGTGCTGTCAGTTCCAGATGAGACTCAACGTTTCCTTTTTCTTTGTTTAAACAATCTGCAAACAAAGCCAAGTGTATCAATAAGGGTTTGAAATTTTGCCTGGAGAAAAAGAAAAAATACCTTGTTAAAGAAAACAAAAAATCTTAGCGTCATTTCAATCACGTGAAATTTCTATAAATTCAGCTGAAACTATATACACAGACGTAAAACTATTTTTTCATATTCAAACCTGCTGTAGCTTATGCAGTGTAGTTTACTATTTAAAACCACAGTAAAAMTTAAAAGAAGCCACTTACAGAAAAATTTGTAAAGAGATGACAGTTTTATTTAGCATTCATCTCAGCTGCTCTAGAAATTCAGCAATACTTTCCTTCACCCAGAATGAAGATTTTTCTCCTTTGCCAGGGGAAGATCATATTCACTTTAATTATCATTTCCAATGATTTTTTGGAGTCCTGGTCATATCCACCCTCCCCTTTCTCACTCAGGACACAAGAGTCCTGGGCTTGCAGGAGAGCCATTCCCTCCATCAATCACTCTAGTTGTCTTTCCCTCTGCCACCTATCTAGTCACTCGCCACGCTTCCCAGGGAATCCTTCAATAACAACGAGGTACTATGTCAGATTCGCTCTCGTTCAGGCAATAAATACAAGTTCTGGAACTTTGCATACAYGCTATTTTCAAATTTGATAAAACAAATTCTCACCTATGCACTGCACAGGAATCACAGGCAAAGCAATGCACCAATACCAAAAACTTCTTTACCTAGTAGACCAAAAAGAATGGAGTTTTTGAGCAAAATACATGTATTTTGTTTAGACATGCAAAGTGGAAACCATAAAAAAGTTATGCTCAAGTGAATTTCTGATTCAGTATCACAGACATCACCAGTGGTATGGTCTGTGTGAGGCTCACGTTTCAATGAGAAGATGTAGGCAAGGAGACAGTGGCAGGATGGAGAAAGAAACAAGCCCCAGTAGGAAGAATTTTTTACAACCTATGCATTTTGATGACAGAACTATGAACTCTCTTAAAAAGTATTTCATCAATTAATTGCTTGCAGATTTAGCAAGGATACACAAGGCAGCAAACCAACAAAGCAAAAACGCTCATGTTGTAAYACGTTAGCCCTTACCTTTACATGAAACCACCTACCTTTTTGTCAATCTTCTTCTGAAGTCTGAATGTATCCAGGAGCAGTTCCCCAAGTTTCACAGGAATAATAAAAATGCTCCACTATGGTGATTACAACAGCAATATGCAGAATTGTGTCATCTCCACGCAGTAATTAGATTGAGGAACATATGCTTATGTTACTTATCACCACTACTCAACAGACAAAGTATATGTTTTTCAAATAATACAGAAAAAGGACTTACACTCTCACTGSAGTAAACGTTTCTTAAGTGAATGGCACAGGGCACTAAGGAGCAGAGTGCCCAAGTATGRATTCCATCCCAGTATCCACAGAAGCAGGATATTAGGACCAACTCTCAAAATCYAAAATAGTTCTCATTAAAAATCAAGAAGATAAACTAACTACGAAATATTGGCCATATGCATGGTCAGTCTTACAGCTGCATTTGGTTACGCTGCAATCGCAGGGTGCACTGTTGTAAACCAAATGATGTTTCATTTCCTGTGGCTATTGCTGTCAATTTGCCCTGTTATTGATACTGAGAAACATCTTGAAACTCCACAACACAACACTGAATAATATGCTTTCCCTTCAGAAATATTATTTCCAAGCACATTTACGGATCTCCAAACGGAATGACTTCAGCGAAATTAATCCTGGTAATTGTATTAAAGAAATCTAATTAGAAACGGTATGAAAGATAATGCCATTTAAGGAATTAAGTAATTAAAATTAAAATGCTACTTAGTGTAATATATTCTAGGTTGTTTAATACAACATTATTCTCAGTTTTAAGCATCTTCCTAAATATCTTTTGAATGGAACTTTTCACAAAATTGATCAATAAACAAATGGCCTGTGCATGTCAAAAAAACAAAGCACTGAAAAGCATAGCTGATTGAACAAGCATCAGTGAAAAGCCTCTTCAGAAACAGGTGTCTGTGTGTAATTATATATATTTACATACACATAATTTTTTTAAAAATTAGCACCATAAAATAATGAAACTGTTTTTTTTCCCTAAGAATTTGACTCAGAATACCTTTTAAGCAGTTAAAAACTTYTGCACACATGGATTCTTTAGCCAAATAGGTCTAACAGTAAAAAACAGAATTTATGTAGTAGTGTGTGAAAAATACAGTCTTGGTTTAGTTGTAAGCACAGTTAGCATTGTCATTTCAATAAATACTGTTATGGTAACGGCTGAAGAAAGCAGGAAACCCGAAAAATAGTGTGGGATAATGCAGGGAGGTCTGGGTAAACAGAGGTAGAGAGAATGGTTCATCAAGAAGTCATTCTGTATCACAAATCGAGAAGCAAAAGCGGAGGTAGAGCAAACTTGTCAACCCTGTGAATGGCTACTGCAGTGTGCGCCACGTGCAGACCTTCAGCAACAGTCCCTAACACAGCAGTTAACAGTCTGCTTAAACCGTCCTTTTTTCCCCTCAAATTTTCAACAGTGACAAACTATTGTTTCACACACCTGAAAGCATTTGGTTTCTGAATTTTATATATAAAATCCTTCACAGAAATAGCAACTATTTCTCAGTATTTTTTTAAAGACCAAGTAAAACTGTAAACGTTGAAAATAATACTGCATCCGATACCAAAGACGGCATCTATGATCAATAAATGCATGTAGAGAGGGAAAAACGTACAAACCACAGAGTCATTGCAGACAGTACCAAGAGCAGTAGATTTCCTTTCCAAAAAAATCAAGAAACAGTCCTCAAGTCCATTCCATAACCTACGGCTCACATCAATGCCAAGAAAAATGCCAACAGCAGGAAAATCTATTAAAAAGAACCTTATTATGAAGAATAATATGGAAAGGAACAGCTGTAGGAGAAGAGCATGGAAGGGGCCTCCCCGCTGTGGAGAAAGTCCCTACTGCTTCCTCCCCCAGGGACTCCAGGCAGGTGGGAGCAAGGGCACTTCTCACTCCTAAGCCTGGCTTTAAGAGAACAGAGCAGGCTACTTGTGTCAGAAGGTGCTGATATCTGAAGCAGGCAGCTGAGACGCCAGGAGTGCTTTGGAAGCAAAAGGGCACCCCTCTTCTTGTATAGATACAGACTTACCTTTGATAAATCTCACTACAAATGCCAGGGAATAACCAGGAAAGGAAAAGAGCTTCCTCYGAGTAAACCAAACAAGTTAGCCTGAGAAAGTGGTAAATAAGATACGGATGTGAATCGAAGTGGGAGACAGCTGCATCTTCCATTGCTGGTAGGGTGGTCAATCTTAAGCCACTCTTACGCCAAATCTTACTCAATTACAGTTTTATCAGCTCTTCTCCTCTTTATAGGGTTCCTCAAAGACAAGCACTCTTCAAATAGGGATGATTACCAAAGGGTTCCTTAAAAATAGGCACAATTTCAGCGATAACAACCCACCTTCAATGGTAGGCATCCATCTGGCAGGGAAACACAAGCTTTTCAAAGACGCAAAGTTACCAGACCTGCTGTGCAGAGCCCAGTTCTGTTGTACAGTCCATTTGAAAATTCTCTTCAAGAGATGTTTCCTCACAACAGCAACAGGTTTGGAAAGAAGCAAGAGGTTGTGACATTCATTTCATTGAAAATCTGGACAACTTCTCTACCGTAAGGCCCAACACCAGTTACAGGCAGCACCAGCGTATTCGATAGGTGCTGTCCCAAAGGGAATTCAGAACAAGCTCCATCAGCCCCACAGTTGCCCTCACGAGGCAGCGAGCAAGATAAAGCCACCAGCACACATTGTACCAAAGAACACACCAGCAAACATCGCTTTATTACATTGGTTCAGTTGTCCAGACTAACCATAAAAGCTGTTTAGATGAACACCGATGGACACAAGTTAGTGTTTCCGTATTAGCTCAAAATTCCAGAATCGTTATTAGGGAACACCTATTCTTCAGTTGTTTCCAACGTACATAGGTGGGTCTTGGGAGTGGGAGTCCGATGGGAATTCTCCCCACATGTGCCTGGCATCCCCCGAGTCAGGGAACAGACCCAAAAGGTTGTGTTTCAGAGGTCAGAAAGGGGAGTCACAGCGTTAATCAGCACAGACAGAATGGAAATACACCRCCCAGAGCCTTGCTCAACTGGGACGACACAAGCACAAGACACTGGTACTAGGCACCCAACAAGCAGTTAACGGTTCCTAAGACTGGTGTAAAGCCAGAACTAGAACGACCCTGTGTGGAAAGACATAGAAACAAATATCCGCTCACCTCTGCAAAGCCTGCCCCTTTGCAAGTTTGTCGGCGACCAGTTACAAGTCGTATGTTCCTCACTATGTTACAGCAGCAAAATCCTACGGTTTAAGAGCAGCCATCGAGTGACTATGCACAGTACATGGTACATACTCGAGAAGCCTGACGCTACCTCTCATATTGGTCATCCTCCTCTCCACCTAAGCAGCAGGAGCAGCCCCCATGGCCCACAAACTATGCTTAATTTGAGCTCTTTAGACACAGTTGAACTGCTCGGTTAATTAAAGTCTGCTCTACTACTAAATGTCCATTGTTTAGGGGGAGAAAGTATTTGGGTCACTCTGTAAACACAGGAGAAATGCAGATTTTGGTTGTCATTCAAGTAGAAGACCAAAACAGGTCAGAAATGTGAGTGTTTGCTCAAGTCAGCAGCTCTGCAAGTCTCCCRTCACTTAAAATTTGAGATCAAGCTCTTGAAATTTCACTTTTTACTGGTGGTTTTTATATATATATATWTTTTTTTTTTGAATAAACCCTTCCCTGCAAAAATAGCACAAAATATTCTTTAATAGCCAGATTACTATATTTAAAAAGTGATACGGCTACAGGTCCGTCAGTGTCTTGAGGTCACTGCCAAGGCTTAAGAGCAGGCGAAGTTGACACTATCCCTAAGCTCATGCCAGGAGCAGCACCTTACCTCGGAATAATGACCTGRAAAATGAAGCCTGGGTTTCCTAACGCTGCCTAGCCAGCCCTGCAGGCCCTCCACTGTTGTACATGACCCGGGAAAGAACTATGAGCTTTCCCTTAGTTAGTTTTGTCGGCAGAGACGGCCACACATTCCTTTGTGCGTGACTGCAGAGAACGCTTCTCCAGTTTGCCTCAGGGGACTGCTGAGTCTGGAGTTATTTTGGGGAGGAACGGAGCAGTCCCAAAGAATGGCAGAACCTGACATGCCTCATAGAGCAGATACCAAGAATGAAAATCCCTTGATAAGCTAAGGTGAGAATAAGGCAAATAAGACTGGAGGAATAACTCCCCGTTTTCTCCTTGTAGCATATTTTACTCCATGAATGTAACAAAAGGCAGGTTAAGGTCTCYCATTTAACCTTTCCTTTAGTTTGAGAGATGACCAATAATAACAACAACAACAATAATAATAATATTAATAATAATTAAAAAAAAAGCTAAGGACAAGTCTTCTGCCTCCCAAGGGCTGTGGTATAACCTAGAATGATCATAGGCTATTCCAGGATGCTGAAAGTCAGTTTAGAGAAAGGCAATAACCCCTGCATAACAGGGGCTGTAACAGTAGTGTACTGTATTATATTCTGTGCAATTACGCATCTTGTCCACAAGCTTCAGTCACCTACCTACGTTTCTCTCACTGCAGTTCTGTTAACTGGTGGCTGAAAAAGTTAAATAACATTACTCCACAGCTCAAGGTAGTTTCAGCAGAAATATAAAATCCATTTCCTGTGAAACATATCCATATTCTCCAAAACAAGTGTTCCTGCTGCCCAAATGTCAAAATTGAAATCTCRGTTTCCTGGAAATAAATCAACAAGGTTCCTTTTGCACTTTGTTCTAAAGTCCCTTCTCTCCAAACCTTGTTTTGCATGGAAGACACATGTGACATACTTGAACGAAGATCTCTTCTTGTTGAGATGCTGTTGGCTCTTACTTCCCTCTACACAGACTTTCTCTGGTTCTCACTAGCCATACACAAGGAGGGGTACGTATGTCAAAGCGACATCTTTTCCCCCAAGAGGTTTTTCATATGTTGGAAAACTAACGATGAAAATTACAAATCGGGTAGGATAAGGGTTGCAACTGTCCACCAGGCTAACTGGAGCACTATGAGTTCCTCTTAACCCTTTGTTCATTGCTCAAAGTTTTCTTTCCCTTAGTTTGTTCCCGTTTTGTTCATCCAGTATGGAAGAATGTCCATCACCGTTGCTCAAGCATTTGTCTCTCTCGTTTTTGTGCTCTTGCTTCTGTCTTCTTATCTCCTTATACCGCAAGGTGATGTCACTAGAAATAATAATAATAAAAGGAATAAGTTTATTCCAGTGTTGCGAACAAACAATTTAAATACTGTATAAAAAGAATAAGGATAACTTGTTCTGAAGGCAAGTAGCCTTGGAATCATTGAATCCATTTCAGTCTTCTGGCTCTACATTTCTAAATTTGCTAACGGCACTTTCAGAGGCCTAACACATTTCAGAAGCATGCTCAAAAAGAGCAGTCCCTCCCTGCCATTGTACAGGGCCTGCTCTACAGATTACTTTAATTCTTCCAGGCACATTCTGCTGCTTTTCATTTACTTGCAGAGATGGCACATCCTAGATCAGCATCCAAACCAAATGCATTTAACTTGGCTCACTTGCTGTTGACACTAGGAAAGCTTGGGACAACTGCAATGCGGCAAAACGGCCTTGCAACAAAGCTGTGAAGCACCTTAATTTTCTCTGAACCAAGCACAAGAAAAAGAAAATGCTGATCTTGGCTGTCATCTTCGTTACCCCAGAAAGCTCGATGTAGTCAAGGATTTTAACTGTTCACCTGCTTTATAGCAGATATAAAGTAAATAATCTACTGAGACCTACAGGTTTGATCCAGAAAGGCTGCAAGAAAGCTGAATGCAGCACGTCACGCTGCCTCAAGCGCTTCTTACCGTATGAAGAAACGCCAGGCTGTCCAGGTGAGCACAAGTATGATCCCCAACATCCAGCACTGGGTAATGTAGAAAGGAAGAGAGAGCGTGAGGGTGTAGGGATCGTACTTCACAACGATCAGAAACTCCGTGGCAGTAATAGCAGCAACCAGCCATGCCTGCTGACCCAGCTTCTTATGGAACTTCCTGCAAAATAAACAGAGATACAAGGAAGATTACCCAAAAGAAGAAGCCTTCAGAGAAATAATCATTCAGAAAAAGACAGATGGGGAAATCATTTTATTGAGCCTTGTATAATACTAAAAGTCTAGTCTGGATTATATGTGCTGAGCTTGTGTAGGCTGAGCACTTTCATGTTAAYCTGAAGAGGTTCTGAAAACACTTCAAAAATTAAACTACTGCATAAGAAAGCAAAGTTTTCCYATTTCCAAGCGACCAGTAAATCCTGACCAACTTGAGATCAGGTGATGTTTGAGGTAAGGTACAAGACACAAGCTCTGCTAGGTTTCCTCTGCAAACATCAAGTCTCATAGCAATAACTGCATTTAATGCTTATATAGCTACACTCCAAAACGTACTCATTTCAAAAAAAATCCAAACAACTAACCAAAAACAAAGCTATCCAGTGAGCTGTTATTATTGATCTCCGAGGGGTTTTTAAAAAGATAACATTTAATAACAAACAGATAAGATACTGAGGATTTCAAAGAGAGGATTTCATTTCTGGAAAGCACTACCTCAGGGCAAAAACATGCCTAACACTTAATCACAARGGTTAATTTTTAAGCAGTACCAGACAAACAAGTGAGAAGATACACTGTTCTGTACAAATCTAATGCAGGAATCAATCAGCAATGCTAGAAATTAAACTGCGGATTAAATCTCAGTAGAAAAGATGTCTGTTCAGAGGCTCTACTTATACAAGTAGAGATTASATACTTACCGGCTTTTAGGCCGTCTATAGGAGATATACATTTATATATTCAGATAGATAGATACAGATGTATACATAAAAAATACCTATTTCAGGAAACCTCACTACTCTTGCAGGCAATAGTTTATTGCTAGAAACTCAGGTAACTTCACGTAAAGCAGCTAGGCTCTGCACTTCGCGGTGCTGTCTGCTCATGCCATTACCTACCTGGCCTGATGGTTTTTACAGCTTGCGGACCTGACTGCAGGTGACTCGCCTGGCAGTTATCGAAGTGGCTCTATTTGGACATCAAAAGCCCTGTTGATGCCTTGCCCTGCAGCATCGCAGCACCCTACATTGCCTACCACCAAGGAGTCAAGCAGACTGTTCCCCTTTGGGTAGATTAACCTTTTCTTCTTCTAGCACCAACCAGTGGAACCTAAAATGGGATTTCATTCCTATTAGTGGGAAGAGCCAAGTAAAAATGCTATAAGTCACACACTTTTTGCTATTTCTTAAAAAAAAATAGATTTAACAACAGGTCTCCTGAAATCCAGCTCATCTAAATCAAGGAAGACTGAGTTCCTGCTTTAGGAAAACAATATCCTTGCTACCATAGCCACCAACCCCTCTATCTCCAAGCACAGGCATTATTTCTTAACAGCCTTTGGACATTATCTTTTCCTGAAAAGTCACAGAAAGCAGTATTCCAGGGCTATTTATTTCTCCTACACCACCTTCCTGGGAGTACTCTAATTACTCTAACCCACAGTGTTACCACTCATTTGAAGAAGTCTCCTGAAATAAAACAATCCACCTAGAAGCACCACTGACAACCTTAAAGGCAGCCCTTTATTTTGCCTTCCATTACTCTTCTTCTACCACCTCCGTTTGAATTTTTTGTCTTTAAGTGTCCATAGCCACACTTCACTCACAGGAAGCATCTATTACTCCACTCCCACTGCAGCCTAAGATGCAGAGTGAAACAGGGCAAGTTGAATCTCAGTGCAAAGCCCAGAAGTGCCAGGACAGGAGCAAAGGGATAGATCAGAAACATACAGTGGGCTAGGGAGAGAGGGTTGAACACGTTGATATCTGCAATACTAGTAATGGGAAATTCTAGTCCAGCCTAGGCCCGCTGTGATCTGTAGCCTCCTGTCCAGCTAAAACTGAGGCTTAATAAATGCCCTGACACTCAGTTGCTGTGTAAATCCCTTAGGTTTTATTTTCCCGGCTTGTTTTCCATGCAAAAAGAGAGAAGCCACTTAACACATCGCCYGGGTTGGGATTTCCTCGGAGCGCTTGCTCAGCTAATGCTTCCCTCTGCTGGACAGAACGGCAAGGCTGCCCTCTATACCTTGTCACCTCCAGCTGCTATACTGCGCAGCTCCCATAGAGCTAGAGCAAGGCCCCGGCACCTTTGGAAGCGCCAGGGCAAAGGCTGTCAGATCAAACATTTTCTCCCAGATTTTCTTCCCTTCTCCTCAGTCTCTCCTCGTTCCCAGATTACAGCAGAAACCCTCTGGAAGCAGAAGCCACCGGAGAGATGAAAGCAAATGCTTCAGTCCTGGAGAGCCAAGCACACAACACACATTTTCCATAACATGYGGCTAAGAGTTATGCTTGACACCAAAGTTCAAACTGCACAGGATTGTCCAAACACACCCAGGAGGGARAGGGGGGAGAATTCGATGCAGTAAATCAAAGAAGCATTATGTTGAGTATTTTCCAATAAAAGTATTATGCCTAGATCAGCTCAAATGAAAGGACTTCCAAAAAAGTGTTCCAGGTGGGTTATGTGGTATTAAATGGGTAAAAACTGGCTTTAACAACTGCATGGAGAGAAACAAACCCCAGCAAACCCCACCCTATGAACTCAAGCTGTTCAGATGACCAGGCCAGCTGTCTGCTTTGCTGAGCTTCTTCCTCATCTGCCATCACTGCTTTTTCACTAGAATATGAAAATCTAGTAACAAGAGAATCTAATCTGACCCCCAAGGAAGAACTGTGCAGATCCTGCAGGTACCACAGGAAAAGACTGGTTTCCTCACTTTCTACTCACGGAAGATTATAAAGAGAAATCATTTTCTATTTGAAATTCACATCCTTAATAAAAAGCTCCTTGGAAGAAACCTAAGCACTAGCATAGCACAGAGCTATGGAGAGATTAACTGCAGATGCTACAGACTCTTATTGGTGAGACTTTTCTGGCAGGGTATTTTTCAGGCAGCAAGTGCTCAAGAACTCAAGACAGCATGTTAGCTGCAAAAGGAAACAAGGTACAGGAGCTGGACAGCAGTTTCAAGAATCATCCCTCTCATATTTTTGTATTTCAGTTCTAGGCACTTTTATGTCCCCATTGCTCAGATAAAACTCCTGCAAGCAGAGTCCTAGAACTGTCTACAGACATTGGGAACCCTGGATGAGGAAGAAAGGAGGAAAAAGAAAAGATTCTTTGTGTTTGAGCTTCATTACTTTCCACAGTAAATACTGCAAAGTTAGCTGAAGAGAGGTAATGAGTTTGTCTGCCTCAGACAATCCAGTCATTATGGACAAGGCAAYGTGCCATGATTCTGACAAGGAAGGTCAGCAAGATATTGCAAGCATTGTCCATCAAGAAACAGMGACAGTTTCCAAAAGGAAAAAATCAGAAAGGTTTCTTGTGTGCTGTTGGCTGGGAGCCTCCCAGTACAGCTGGTTCCTCCRCAGCATCTTCTTCCTATAACTCAAAAAAAATCCCCCACAGTTCCTTAGCTCGCAGTGATGCGCAAGTGAAAACACATCCCCTTAAGCTGGTAAAATGGGGGCAGATTGTCTCTGCTTGGCGAGATGAAATGCAAAAAGGAAGTTTGCATTCAGTTGCAAAAGTTCAGTTGCAAAAGCCTTTGTGGAGCAGGTATTAGACGAAACCAGGTGTTAGGCCTGCTCTTTTTCAAGAGGAGTATGACAAGCTTGGGTCTGTGGTGCATCAAGCAGACCTCAGAAGAGAGGGAAATAGCCATCTTCCCTACTAAGGGGACAAAAGGATAGATTTTGGTRGTTATGAAGACATGCGGTTCAGAAGAAAGATTTTTCTGCTTGCTGGATGAATCTCTCCAGCTCACYAAAGGAACGGCAATAAACTGAATCAGTAATGAGGCACTGGCAATGATAGCCCTAAATCTGACATGTGTGGTTGAGCAGAGGGCAAACAACAGGAGTTGTTTTTCCAACCGAAAGACAAGGAGTGGAAGTCAAGGAGTGGCGCTAAGGAGAGGAGCTCACCAGTGAGAGGTGGAGACCTCTTCTTACCTTTGAGCTGGAGGCACGTCCCAAACCAGCAGGTCCGACACCAAGGGCAGGGGCAGCCTGCCACTGCCGASTGTCCTGAAATCCAACTATGCAATGTGGGTTGGCCTTTCTTCCCCCTTCTAGGAGCCAAAGCCTTGCAAGAGAAACTGATCTTCAGAGAAGGTTGGAACCCTAAATTCTGAACACAGACACTTTTTGTGTTGGTCAGTGACAGACAACGAACAACCCTTGAAGACAGACATAGCCTTAGACTTAAGCTGTGGGTTCAGGCAGTTGTAACGTTACTACTAAAACTTAAAGGAAAAGGCCTGAGAGCAAAGCATTCTCAGGTCTTACGTGGTCAGAAACACGTAACAGAAACAGTTTTTGCAGAAACAAAAGCAGCAAGGATAAATATGATGCAAGAAGGTGCCACAAGAGTACCGGAGGATCCAAGACCAGCTGGAAGACCACTCAAGAAGCAACACCTTAAGAAAAGAGTTGCCTGGGGCCCTGCTGTCCTTAGACAGTGCATCTAAGGATGGTAGTTCTCAGCCAGCGCTCTCAAAGTGGAGTTCAGCTCTCCTTTGCCCACAAGCCAATTACACTCCAGCTGATTTATACATTACGTTCTCCACAGAGTGATCATTATGAGAAACTGGGGTTAAAAACAGTGCACGCAGAAAGTCCTTAATGAGTACTGCTCTCCCACCAGATATAGTCAGAACTTTACCTCTCACACAAAAGAAAACAAAGCAGATACTTCAGGCCTTCTTTGTCCCCAGCAAGCTGAACTATTGCTCTGAGATGGATGCCAACAAGCTAGAGTAAACCGCAGCAAATTTAAAATAAAGTGAAGCTTGATACGATATAGACACAAGAGGACTGGCTTACGGGTCATCCATGAAGTCGTAGATCTCCCTCATAGCCACACCTCCCACATTGACAAAAAAGACAAGGCGCAACAGGACCAAGTAGTGTTCTGGCGGCATCCAAAGGACAAACTTCAAGTAAAATGTGTTCAGCTCTGCCAATAAAAACTGAGAAAAAGGACATTTTAATTAAACTCAGAGGACTTCAGTGAGCGAAGCCTGGAATCTCCCTCTCCGCACAGCTACCCTCCCACCATTTAACTTCTCTACAACACCCTATCCAGTAGCAGTGAGCCCACTCTCAGCAGCTGCAATAACAAGCAAGAAGTTTCTTGCAAGATCTTTCAGCATGTTTTGGAAAATGTCTGAGAGCAGSAATGCTTGTGCATAGCACATATACATACACAATCTGGCCTAGCCCTGCCTCTGGTTTCCAGKAAATTTATTGGGTGTTTGAAGTAGCTCCAGAGCTACTGATAGCATACCTTTAGACTAACAACTTGTCATTTAAAATCCCATTGATGGAACCCAAAATAACAAGAGGCATAAACAATGCAAACCTTTTTTTAAAAAACAAACCCCAGGCCAGCTTTGCAGCATTGATTACATATTTACAGCAAAACCTTCTCAGAGAGAGCAGTTCAGGCTAGGAGATTAAGTGAACAGTGGACACAAATTTCTTGCTTTACAACAAATGATAGGAGAAAGTATTAAGTATTGTTCCATTCAGAAGAATGTTGCTTATAAACAGGAAGTCAGCTGCAAGCTGACTTTCCTAAAGATACACCATTTCCCCAAACTGACATAAAATTCCACTGAATTTAAGTTTCTCAATCCGTTCCAGTTTCTCAATCTGTCCCATTAATGTCTTGCAGGGAGCAATAAGCTGAATATAAAGTATTCAAAGTAAAGAGTCCTTTTTTTCTTTTTCTTTTTTTTTTTTTTTTTTTTTTTTTTGTTTGTAAAATACTAGCACGTTTCCTTTACATCTCCCACCAACTACGGGAACTCAGCAAGCCCATTGTGCTACACACGAACCTGGCAAAAGTTCAGTGCAGTGGCTATCGGGCCATTTGAACTTGTATTCAGCTGTCTGCATTTGCAAACTGCCTGGCATTCGCTGCTGGCTCTGCATCAGTGGCTCAGTTAGTTACAGACAAAACATTGTTCTTGAAGCACACTCAGGTCTGCAATTTGACATCAGCATCAACAGCAATGTTGTTATGAGAAAGAGGAGGCGGGGGCCTGCCAAGCTGACCAGCGTGTCCTCCTCAGCAAACTCTAATAGGGAACTTCACTGGACAGACCCCAAAATGAACCACTGCCAGATTTCCTGTTCCACATATTTCAAGATGATTAAGTGCCCTGTTTGAGTAGCTGTTACAAAACACATYAACCTGTTATATCTTGCACTATATCAGAAATACACAAACTGGCTAATGTCCACTGCTTTTGTGAACAACCAAAGCATCAAAAGGCTTTTCAGTGACATTTCAAAGTTTTGTTGTTTCAAAGTTCAATTCAAGTCAGTTCAGGTTGCTCAAAACAGAGGCAAGTAAGATCCAATAGATGTTACGGAGGTCAAAGTCCCCTAACTGACAAAAGCGAGGCAGGTGGTATTTAAGAAAAAGCACTCAAAACATCAAGCTCAGCCTCCCTATCAGTGCCACATGTGGTAACTTGCATCTCAGCCTGGCGCTGATGCACTCCCATGATACAGATTTAGCCACTTGGCTGCCTGAACTAGCTGGGGGAACTGCCAGGGAGCTGTGGCTCCTGGAGAAGGCATTTTCTTTTGTTTAAACAGGGGCAGCTAGTTTACCTCAACCAGTCAAGCTGGATGTCATTGGTACTCCAGTCATGCGCTATGTGTCAAGGCTAACATTTAAAGCAAAACCAAAAKAAATACTCCAAAAGCCCATCAAACAAAGTCTAAGTCTGTATTACAATATCACACACGGCAAAAAAGTGTGTCCTCTAGGAGCCATACTGGGTAGAGCTAATATGCAGCAGTCTGAGGCCTTGGTTAGAACCTCTCCAGCTGCAAGGTGATATTTACCTGCGAAAGCTGGAGAGAAACAAACTCCTTTCACCCTAAGCCAACATTTTCTTTTTGCGGGAGCAGTTATTTTCCRAATTGTGTGTAGGCCATATTTCAAATTGTTTGTATTGTCTATCTTTTGACTGTTCAGCAAGTGAGAACAAGTATTTAGGTAACGAATTTGCGAATTGTGCCAGAGACAAGAAAATAAGATGCCTTTTCAGTAGGACATGGAAATGATCTCTTCCAGAAGCAACTGAGTAAGCACCACGAGGCCACAACTTTTGTCCAAGCTACTGTTTGTATATTTACTCTAGTGTTACAAAATGTTAAACCAAACGATCAATAAAGAGGGAGAAGTTTCCTTACTACAAAGATTATGCCACAAACTGCTAGCCATCTGCGTAGGCTGGAGGCTGGCTTCCACTCAAACTTGACCCAGCTATATGGGGTGAACTGGAAGACAATTCTCTTCATTTTACCCCTGAAAGAATCAGAACACATTCTTACAACTTTAAGAAATAGCAGATAAGAGACAACTCCTAACATCTTATTTCAGACAACAGTTATTTGCAAAGTTAAGCTATTTTGAGTGAGCCTTCTCTTAAGGAGCRGTCTGTATCTACTTTAAATCTTTGGTGTTACAGCTCATTGTAACAAGCAGTTCCTCAATTCTGCTTTGCTAAGCAAGGACAAGTTCCAAAACAAATTCTAGTTCACTGCTGGYAGAAGCCCATAATGGATTTATTCAAACTTAAGCTTCAATATGTCAATTACATTGAAGCCCTGGTTACCAGTGAGCTCATTATTTGCAAAAAGGACTGAAAATATCCTTGCTGTGAATARAGGTGCCTGGTGTGCAGGCACTTGCGTTAACTATCCTTTCCACAAAACACCCTCATTCCTAGAGATCAGACAATGCTGATAACAGAAAGGTATATTGCAACAACTTCACTTTTAGGTTAAAGAAAATTTTATATAAAGAAGCTTCCATGCAGAAATAAATTACTGGATATTTCAGGCATCACAGTACAGATGACTTGCCTTAAGTCACACGAATCATAACAGAATAACCTTTTAACAGCTTAGATCTTTAACAAGGATTGTGCTACCGTTTGTGAAGCGAGTCCTACATCAGCTTACTTGTAGGTAGGAATGTTCCAAAGTCCCTGCCATTTGTATGTTTTCAAAGAAAGCCAAGACAGAGTCTTCATTCCACAGTAGATTCCTAATCCGTTACATAAGATCACATCCATTATCCACTGGAAGAGAAAAAAGAGATGAAGAGATTAAAACAAAGCTGAGCTCTGGAAATTTAAGTTACTGGAGAGGCACATACTTGCAGACACAATATGTCTTGAGGACAATACATTAGCATTCCCAGAGAATTGCTGGGTCAACAGTTTGGAGAAGAGATCTCAATCAAATTGGCTGCCCACCTCATACACACAATCAAAGCACAGAGCATTAATTTCATTACAAGCTTTTTTTGAGGCAAACCAGATTTACTCCTGGAAAAAGTCCTGCTTCTGCTCTCTTCTTTATAAAAAGGCATTTACCTTTGTGAATGGAACTATGTGGCAAAGAATTATGAGCTTGGARAAAATGTACTGTAAGAACACACGTGTATGTGCACATACATGCGTGTATAAAAATGGCAGCAGAACCAGAGCTGAATGTCCTGAACACACATRATTTTGACTGCTCAAATAATCAACTTAAATAGAGAAAAAAGTGTGTCATTGCAAGCTGATTCTTTCCACAGACAAAATCACAGGAATCCCTCCAGCTTGGAGAAACATACACACGGTATTTTAAGATAAGTACAACGACCATGCAAGTTTTTCCCTAGCACAAATATTTATCATTCCAAACAGTTTTTATCAACCACACTAAAGCTCCTAAAGTCAAAATATTTACTGTTTTCAAAAAACAGTGAAGATAGGCTGACATGAAAGGGAAAGCTGAACATAAATTGCACTGAGCCTGTTTTCTTAACAAGCAAGAAGTCACCCTGTGAAACATGATACACAAAATTTTATATTTCTCTTAACTTTGAATTTTGTGGTTCCGTGTAAAACTAGCTTCTCCCTCTGGTGTGGAATGAATCTAAACAAATATTTAAGTGTATGCAATAMAGCTGCAATTCCACAAGAGAAGTTAGACAAACCATAAGATTATACGTATACAATGACATAGTACAAGCTCAAAAAGGAGAAGCGCCAACATGTCTCAGCCGCAGTGGCTGTACATATATTTTGGGTCACATGCATGTCATATAACTTAGATTTCACCATTTCCTGCCCTCCTACCCCATGAAATACAAACTTCAGTTTACATAAATATATCTGGTGCAGTACATACGTGATCCCACCAACATTCGCTGAAGTTTGGAAGCTGGTGTTCCAGACTGTATTCCAGAAACTCAAACATGACACTGATGATCATGCACATCCACCAGTCTCGAATCATTAATGTCTATATAAAAAAGGGGAAAAAAAAAGGGGGGGTCTTTCAGACATCTGCAACAGTTACAAAACATATCAAAAATCATTACAAAAAAGAAAGACTTCCCTGTCGAGTAGGATCAAACACCAGTTACATTAGCGTTCCTTTAGGAAAATAAAGGAGAACACCATAAACACTAGAGACACACATGGCAGATTTATAGTTTCCTTAGCGTGGTAGGGATAAATTATCATGCCATTTTCTAGTTTGAAGAGCCACTGCATGAGGAAAAGGAGTTTAATCCTTCAAGACTTGGAACACCACGGGCGTACGTGGTCACTAGTTATTTCTATAGGTGAACATCTTGTCTCAAGTCCTAAATCTGACATGTGATCCTAGCCCACTGTCAAAACATGCAACAAGATTTATAGTTACACTCTACTTCATTATTTGCAAGTGGATAAGAGCACCAAGTCAGCTGGTRCATATATATGGCTCTATTGCAACTCAACTGTGGACAATGGACCTAACTTCAGGCTTTTTATAGAAAAAATAAACTGACAGATTAAAAAAACAGACAGCTTTTTCTAGCTTAGCAGTATAGAAATTATATATAAAAAAATAGAGAACATGGGTATCAAAATAGGATTTCAGTTAAGTTGCTAATGTAATTGGCTTGGATAAAGAAATTTCAAGCATCGCTAAATTTACCATAAAATACACATAAGTTCAACTGAAGTCAAAGCCTTCCCTTACCTAGTGTACTCATCTTCTGGTCAAGGACAAAAGAATATAATGGTAGTAACAAAAAATATACATTTAGCACGGCATCTGTACTGAAGAATAAACAGACACAAAGCAACAGCCACGCTCATCTTGAAAGCAGGCTCTGCCTTTTAAGCTTATTATTGCTGCTGTTCTTGTAGGAAAAGAACAAATAAGGTCTGTAGAGCCAAACATTCAGCTAGTAAGTTTGTCTAACTCAGAAAAAAAAAGGCAGCCAATATTTAGACCAAATAACACTATAACAGAAGCAGTCAGGCTTTGAAAATAGAAAAGCACCACAACAAAAAATGTATCAGAAGAGCAATTCTTACTTTTAGGTACCAGCCAAAAAARTGAGCAGGAACAAATCCATCCAGTTTGTCCTATAAACCAAGAGGAGAAAGCAGGTCACTTTGCCCTGTAAGCGATTACACAKGCTCAAGGCCTAGAGTTTCCCAGGAAAAATGAAGCAATAAGCTTACACAATTTCACATATAAATACTGGAAGCGTTATGTTCTCAAATACAGCAAACAAGTTATCTTTAAAGCAAAGTCAGAAACCTTAAGGGGCAGAAATTGGAATTAGGATTATAAAGCTGAAGCTACCTTTTATATTTTAATGTCATTTTCCTTATCTTCCATGTGGCAATAAGGGGTCAGAAGCAGTTCAAGTCAGACATAAAGGGCAAGAATATATATTTTACCATCACACCACCTTGTTGTATCTAGTGGAGCTTCTTGATCTCATCTGTTCTGCCAACAAGCAGCCACTGGGCAAGGGTGTCTTTCTTCCTCCTAGTGCTAGTTCAAAGCTAGAGAGAGCAGCTATTATCGTTCGCAGTTTTACCCAGGTATTCCTGAGGTACCGCAGGTTGGATGGTAGCCACTAGGAATTCAGAGCTCCTCACTACATATGCACTAACCATTCCATGGCATTTATGAGGTGGTAAGAAAGTATACCCAATTCCTTTGCCCTTAAATTTCCAGCCTTTTGTTTGCCAGCTTAAAACAATACCCTGGCAACTTGTGATATTCCAAGCCTGGGTTCAAGAAAGTGCAATTTATGGGTTGCTTGGCAACATGCTCAAAACATTCAAACTTTGTGCCTCTACGTGAGTGAAAGTAGAAAATTCCCTAGGCGCACAAAGAAATCCAAAGTGCTATGGGGAAAAGGTTTATACCAATAAACCAAAAAACGAGGGTAGTTAAACAATTTATTCTCCTTTGCTGGCAATGTAATTAGGGTACAAAGTCTCCCTTTGATTGACAGAAAGGCTCAACAGAAGAGAACCAAGGAAGTTAAAGAGGCTGAAATTGAAGCACAGTCAGGATCTGTTTTCTGATTTACTACTCAAAGACACACATGATCGCAACTTAGGGAGTTCAATTAAGCAACATTTTATCATCCCCCCGCAAAAAAGTATGTCCTCTAACTTTTTTTTGAATGTTGTTTCTTACCCAGATATTGTGAAGCGGATCAGTTTCATTGCCAGGATCATAGATAAGGCAGTTGCCGCCGTAGTCTCTTTCTGGCAAGGGAACACCTAAATTCGGATCAATGTACTTCATAAACTGTCTGCCATCTTGCACAGTCTGCCAAAGGAAGACAAAAGCCCATGTTTCTTATACTCTTAGCAAGTATTAATAGACAGARAAATATGACAAGAAGTCAGCTTATAGATTTTTTTTAAAAATCCATTTGAACRTGCTTTTGTCTATGACATATCATAAAGCTATGTTGATGATTTTTTTAAAAAAATCTACGTTTAAATCACTAAATCCAAGCCAAGTGCGGACACATTTGAGGCCATGAGCCAGGCAAAATAAAAAATATTGATGGTTTTGTTTTGTTACAAGTAGTTGGCACTACTACTACTACTGAGAGGCTCAAGCAAAAAAAGAAAAAAAAGGTCAAGCCAAAAAAAGAAGGGTTTGATCAATATTAACAACATATTTGCAAAGTAAATATAGTCCAGAAGGAAGACAGAAGATGGTTCCTGATGCTTCTGAATTCTAGCTATGCTTCTGCAAGCTCACTGGGCTTCTCCAGGCTTTTTAAAGAACAAAAAAAATATTTTTTCATTTTCCTCTCGCTTAAAATGATTTTTYAAGCTACTCAATATGTATGCCGTAGCACTCTCGCAACTCTTAATATACAGAGCACCAACTGCTACTAAGATCTCAGAGAGAAGGTCATACTTATCTGAAAAGGAATAACCKGACCCTCTGCCTGGAACCTAAATGTGAGAAGTGGTAAAACCTCCAACAGAGCAGAACATCCCAATCTCTCTGCCCAGTAGCTCCATTTTTACTTCTGTTTTCAAATCATTTAGTTGCCCAAGGGGAAGACTGCAACGAGTGCACAACACAACTGAGAAAAGGACAAGTCACCTTGAAAATCTAGAGCCCTTTCTTGGCACTCAAACTTTGTTTGCAACAGTATGACGATACATACATGAGGTGCAACGATTGTGTTAATGGCATCAGGTTTACTGCTCTTGTTTATCTCAAAATATATTACCTCAACCGTTGGGTTTCTGAGAAGTCATTCATTTGTAAAAGCCAGYAGAAAGTTCTTGGTTTACAGAGGGACAAGAAGGCAGTTAGAAAATMGGGTGCTTTATGTGCAAGTGCTGACAATATCTTTGTGTCTTTCTATCTTAGTGTCTTTCTAGAAAAATACCATCCTTCATTTGCTGTCACTACAGAAAGTGGTGTGCATAATTTACCTTTACTGCAGAGAAAAGTGTTTAAAACAACCATCACCCAAGCCCGAAGTATTTCAAAAGATTAAACACGATAAATTCACTTCAGGCTCCATGTAAGCTGAGAGACTAACAGCTGATCTGCAATTTTCACAAGTCAARTGAAGCCCAACAGAGCAGAAGCTAAACGCCAAAAGCACCAATCCTGAGCCACTGATGACTTTCCATATCTCATTTAGGAGAGCCTCACGGTGGGACACTATCTGCATTGAGATTAACTGGAAGAGGTTAGGAGATGGTAAGGAGAAATATTTTTAACATTATCATTTTCTTCAACCTACCAGTTGAAGCACAATGATAAATAGCACAATGATTTCATATCCAAAAAATGAAGGAAGAACATCTCCTGCAATCAGGGAGATTTCTAAGGAACAATATAGAGGTTTTATATTCACATTAGAGCTCTAGCTACTAAAAAGGCGATTTATGTCACTTACCTGAAAAAGTATAAAGATGAGGAAGAGCTCATATACAACGCTGACGCAAAGCCAAAACCTCCAGTAAGCTGCAGGAACAGACAAATGGGACATTAGTGAGACTTTCAACAAAAYAGCCGTCAATTATTCATTTACTGTAATGCAACCAAACATTTCAAGATGCTCTGAACAAGAAATTATAAAGGCCGGTATGCACTCACGCTAAGTATGCGCCGTCCTTCCTAATGGAACACAACCAGAAAGGCTCTGTAATTATCATTCAAGCAGGTTACACTTTCCAGCACTGCCCAGGCAATTTCTCTCACTCCCCCATCCCAGAATACAGGGACCCATGAGAATGTCTCAACCCAGTGAAGTGAATATTTGAAGAATCAGAGGAAGAGATGTGTGCCATTCGCAAGGTTTTCCAGTAGCCTTTCAAAGGGAAGCATTATCTTTCTGAACTAACCTAAACTTCCTTCTCTATCTTGTCTGCAGACTTCATCTGCCCAGCTTTGGTTTCCCCCGTTTTTTTGCAGYTCACCTGCTTGGCCAATTCTGCCTATGTCTTGCTAAGGCAAGACAAAGACCAACAGGAAGGATCACCACTYTTAAATGAGAAATATCGTGTAAAACTCAGCTGCTTCACAGTCACCCACTCAAGACATGCAATTTAGCTCCTCACATGCCTGAGCAACATGTGTGCAGATATTTTGTGAATCCACAATATTACACAAAACATCTGCACACTTYCAGCTCCATTATTGCCATCTCCATTTCCTTGGAAGGCGCAGAGTCCTGGATAAAAGCTTTGTAGGTCCACGTGCTGCATTCCTGCTCATATTCCACCCTAGACTGGCCTGGCCTCTGCTCAGTAAAGTCATTTTTGTGCCCTGAACTCTTGTCCAGGGTTTTATTAACCCTAGAGAGGGGACTGCAGGCTAATGCAGAGCCAGCACATATACAGACTGAGGGTTCTCACATCTCTTCCTAACCTCATCCAAGAACTTAGGCAGGTTAATTCAGTCAAAGCTGACTCATTGCAAGTAGGCTTTTAAATCTCTTGGCAACATCCTGTACTAATYGCATAGGAATGACTTTAATGGACTTTTTGGAGGTGTTTCCTGTTTGCACTTATAAAACAGAGTTCCTCCATGTTTACACCTAGCTGAGAGTTAGAACAGGCTGGAAAGGGAGAGAAAACAAGATGGTCACTGTTCAGCCGAGCAGGGCCAGGCAGCTATTCCACTTCTATAGAAGAGGGTTTGTCATTTAAATAATAAAATTTGTCATTTGAAGTAAAATAAAAATAACAATAATTTAAAAATAAAGAGCAAACTAGGCTCAAAGTTAGCATCTAATTCTACTAACTACACGGACGTTTAGCTGTGTGAATATTTAAAGTGAGGACTGTGACTAAGATATGTCACAGTTTGAGACTAACTCCTGTCTTGCGACTATGCTTCGGATCAACTCAGAACCTGAAATTGCCCAGACGTGATTATCACACCATGCAGTGCAGACTTGCTCATCCTCTTGAAAAGTAATATAAATAAATAAATGCCAGCTTTGCCCAGTTCAGCCTTACTTTGGAGACAGAGATAGATTATCTCTATATCTCTCAACTAGCAGCCCACTTCTGACATTGTCATTAAAATAGACTCGAGCATTAGAAGGTGCAACTTTTCCCAACAAAACTGCTAAATTAATCTCTTCAAAACAGCCTACTTTCCACTTTCAGAGAAAAAAAAAAAAGCAGCTGTGACCTGGATAACAGGAAGTCCAGCACTCCAAATGGAACAGCTTTTGCCGGAGTCTGGGCACTTTGAAATTTTTACTTTGACTTTACAAACACAGTTGTCCTTTCTTAATCACACAAGAGAATGAAGTGTCTTAGTTGGGCATGGTCAATTAAAAAATATATATATCTTCTAAATGTGTTACATAGTGCACAAAAATCACTTTGCATTTCCTGCTGCTCTTGGTGGATTGCCAGTAGCCTTTCTACCAAGTTATCCTAATTAGCCTGATGATTCCCTTTAGAGCCATTTTTTAGGTTGCTGGATACCACCTACGCATCAAACTTTGCCCCCAAGCATTCATAAGCAATGATTACCATAGCTTGAAGAAAAGATAATCTGAAATAAAAACAAACTCCTCCAGTAAAGGCTGGAACAGCTTCCAAGCAAGGAGAACTGCCAACTCCAACAGTTTTTTTGGTGAACAGTCAGGCTATGAAAGCCTCCTCTTCTATAGATCTGGCTTTGTCCCTTGACTTCCTCAAGGGAAACAGAAGTTGGGTTCAGTCCCTCTTCTCCTGGTGGGGCAAGAATTCAAGCCTCTGTTCAGCTGCCTGCTACACAAAAGGGATAGCAACACTTTAAGGCTTCTGTCACCGTCAGGTTTGATTGACTTTCAAATTCACTGGCAAATCTCACTAGGAAGGRCCGACTGAGCACGTACATCCTGTTGCCTTTGCAGAATGCAGTTCAGAAACCACCCCCAAAAGYTCCACTGGCCACAGCTCTGTTCAGAAGAGAAAAACTTCTCCCTAGATTAGCAACTGAAAAGTCCACGGGCCAGTCTGCAGGATAGAAATGCTATAGTGGCATTTTTAATAAAAAAAAGGATTTATAAAGTTGTTCATTTATTATTATACTGACGGCACAAACACTATGCTCAAGCCAGAAAAATTAGCCTTTCTTTAACCCACTTTTAGGAATTTAGCTTTAATTCCTTTCCACAGCAATTTCAGTCTCACAGCATAAACATGGCTGCTATCTCCTGACCTCCTAACAACTTGCAAGACAAAATTTACACTGTTCTCAACCATAGACCTGTTATGTTCTGAAGGCATCAAAAGGATCTAAATCAGAACCTGAGCTTCCTTCTTCTCCTATATATATAGTTGGTTCTGTCAACACATTGTTTCTGTCTAAACACATCGAGTAGTACTTACTGAAGTATTTAATGAAAGTTTGCAATCTGGTTATAATTTAGAGTTTTTTCCTCAGCAGACACAAGCACTCAAGAGGTTCAAAGATCGCTTTATAACTATATAACCTACATACACACTAGAAATAATATGTTTTCAAACTGTACAAACATTGTGTTCTCTCCCAGGCCCTGCCTCAGCTATAAAGTTACTTTGGGCATCCCTTATTTGTTTTTCTTAAGGGTACTTGTCATCAGGAACCTCCCCTCAAAGTAGGGCTGTCTTCCTGATTGAGGAGGCCTCAAGTAATCATTTACATGTCTAAGAGTTTAGGGAGTGCAGTGCTCACAGGCTAAATTACTGCCACTGCAGGAAGACAGGAGAACACAAGAGGAATACTTAGCTAGAGAGTGGCCTACCACTGGYCACTTAGCTCTGTTTATCAGAAGAGGCTTGGATTTGACCTATACAACTTGAAAGGCTACAAAGAATGAAAAAAAAAGAAAAAAACAACTAAAAAAAACCCCCCACATCCTAAGTTATTTGTCTGAATTACCACTATTCTTGGAGCACTGAAGTGCTAATCAGAAGTTGCAGAGCATGCACATGGAGAACAGACAGCAGATCAGTGCATGCTGGCAAATGCCTGCTTGAAGCCCTGCGAGAGAGCGCAAGATTTTCCAYGGCCAGCTCGGTTCAGAAGCACCACCTGTGACCTGGCAGCTGCAAAGTGACTAGCAGATGGGACAACCAGTGAAAAAGCAAGCAGGTAGCATCACTATCCCAACAACCAAAAAAAAAAAGAAAGAAAAAAAAAAACAAGGAAAAGTAATAAGCACTAAGATGAGCTGTTAAAGCAATAGTCAGAAAGGGACACATCAACTATTCCCTTGACAGACCCAGAGAAAGGATCTCTTATTCACAGAATTACAAGGTAAATGTCTTTTCCGTTCAGTTTTATCAGGAGCTGAGAACATTGGTGCTATAACYGTTAGCTGCTGAATTGCTACAGAAGTGATACAGTTCTCGTCTGCTCACTTCTAGCTACTCCAGCCCTCTGGCCCATGCTTTTCTTAAGAATTCAACAGTTTACTCTCCAAACCACTTATGCTGTCCAAGCATACGGATACACTAAGTCAAAATAACTGTTGACAAAGGTTGTGAAGGTTAAAAGTCGCTTTCTAGGGCTGTCATGGAAAGTCTCATTAATATTACAATGCAGGCAGGCTATCTTGACAAAGGCTGTAACACACCACTGATCTCTTAGGATACCACRGAATAACCAGATCATTTGGATGTTCAAGGCTCCTCAAAGGTTAGCCTGATAGCCTTTACATGTGATTAAATCAAATATGAAATGCATTATTTTATCCAAAATTGGTGTCTGAACAGCAATTAAGGAATCCTCAAGCAAAATTCAAGATCTGTCCCTCCATGAATGATTGTTCCTTGTGAATAAGAGCACCTTGTGCTGGATGGTTTGGGTGCTGTTTGCATCTTACCGAGCCACGAAGGGGCACTGCTATGGAAGCAACATGGAAGAGTTGAGACTACCATTGTGCGCTTTGGGGAGCTCATCAGCTAAAAGGGTTTGGGTATTATCTGTCCGGCACTGAGCTCTTTCTCCAATGCAGCCATAGAAAGGAAGCACCTGCTGTATTAAGACATAGTCATCTAAGTACTGACAGGGAGACAGGGAAACATTAATGCCATCATGAAAAACAAGCAGCAACACATCTGCAATATCSTATACAGGTATGGACAGCCATTTTCAAAGATAATTTGAAATAAGACAGAGAGAAAGACTAGTAAAATTTCATAGGGAAAGCGAGCACAATTTCTTGCTTTAGCAAAACCAATGGTGAGATGGCACTGTTGATGCAAGATATAAGACATCCATAAACTAGTCACTAACAGGTATAGATAGAATGAATAAGGAGGCTTCAAAGCAGAGGAGAGGGACTCAGCAGCWACCTAACAGAAGCAAGCCATGAAAAACAACTACCAAGACAGTGAAACCGAGTCAATGGGGCTGTATGTGACCAYAGTGACTGGACTCCGACACAGAGGCTTCTTTCTGCCCTATAAACAGAAGCAGCACATCAGCAGACTGCTGTCAATTCTTTAGAGATGAGACCCGTCTCTAGGAACGGCACCAAGGAACAAAGGTCAGAGACTTGTTTTCCACGTGGGCACTACCCAACACATTCCTCCACAGCCTGCAGTAACTGGAGAGCCAAGACCCACAGGGCTGCAGTACCACATCCTCTGGTGCCTGCAAGAACCTTGCCATGGGAAAGGTGCGCAGAAAGACCAAGCTCTCCCTTAAAGAGGCACCCAGACACCTTGAGAGGACTGAGGAAGTAGCTGCTATCCCCAMACTGCCATACGCCTCAAGAACCACTCCTCAGAGACCATCACCTCAAATAAACTATGGGCAAAGATGACATTAATATGAAAGACAACATTAATATACTCAGTCTGCCTGTAAGAATACTTCTCTTACTTGCTACTAAATGTGCATTTGGGGATAAAAATAAAATAATCACCAAAATAAAAMCCACTTCTGCTCCAGACATGAGCCCTAATGTTCTAAAACTGAAAGCAACAACAGAAAAGCGCCCAAATATAACTCATGTCCTTGACAGGAATAATTTCCCACATGGCACAAATCAAAATGAACAGTAATAGAATTGAAATATTGAAAGTGACTCCTTAAACAAGACCTCATATACATGAGCTTCTGAATAAAAACTTCAGTTTGCAGAGGTCTGCTGTGTACTTTGGTCTAGAAGAATCTCTGCTGACTTGTCTGCTGCTTCATATTCAGTTTTAAGAGTCCTTTTTCCACAAAGCTTATTTTTCGTCATAAGAAATACACTTGAATAAAACTGTTCGAAGTAAGAGAGCTAATGCTTTTAGGAATAGGATACAAGTCCACACAAATCCCCTTAATTCTTCTCAATGATTCACAACATCTAAAAACAGCCAAAAGATCAAGGATGTTAAAATATTTTCAWATTTCACTTGATGTAACACTACATGGAAGAGAGCCTATGTTATGGTTTCAAATCCCTTCAAAAGTTGAGGTCTTACCATAAATCTTCAAAGTATAATAAAGGGTTTGTAATCTAACAGTTATTGTGGATAGTGGGCCTACAGCAAAGAGAGCAGCTGAATATTTGGTGAGAAACGTAGTCCCATTACACAGGGAGGAGAAAGACAGCATAAAAAAAGGAAGTTAGAGAGTTTCAAGAATCTGGCAATTTGCATAAAGCTTTGCTCTATAATAGAAAGTCRGAATGGAGAGATTCAAAGAAATCCTATAGAACAAGCAGATGAGAGCACAGAATGATTGCTACACTGCTTGGAGTATTTCCAAATTTTAGGAGTCTCAAATCTGTGTGAAAACTGGAAGACTACATGATATTTTTATAGCCTTTAACTTATTTTGTTACTTACCTCCTCTACAAGCAACAAAAAGTTTATCACTCAGGTTATCAGAAACATCTGAGGAACTTAAGTAAATAAATTTACCTGGATGAGGTCTTGAAAATGGTCCATCTTTAGCTTGTGTAACTCCAAAACATAAGAAAACCAAAATACTGGCAACAATACCTCTGAAAGTGAAAAACAAAAAACTCTTTATATTGCTACTTCTAAGAAAACTGTAAATTATTCTCTTGGATGTCGATAATGTCTGGTCTTTGTTTCTTAACTACGAAACGAATCAGTCACAAAATGGATTTCTTTAGAGGATTGTAGTGTCAAACAAACTGATGTACACATCTAAACTTCGAGTGTCCTTGCACACACTCAAATCCCTCAAAGCACCTGCCACCCCTCTCCCTTCTTCCCCACTGATTTATTGACTCCCGCAGTCCTGATGTCATTGCTATTAGCACCCAGCCAGCTGAACCACGATTTGGATCTGAATGAAACAGAGTAAGTAACCCCAATCCACATGATGACTCTCAGGTTTTAAAGGATGSTTTACTCATCATCCAACTGATCACCCATGTATAATGAGGTAAACATATTCTTATACCTTTAACAAACTTTCATACTTGGCATGCCTGCAAAACTCCTAAAAGCCAGCAGAGAAATGCAGAGAAAAAGTCTAATAGTTCTGCCTTGATTTAGGAAAATCTGTTACACAGCAGCAGACTGTCTTTAAAAAGACCGGCACCAACTAGTAAAGAAAAGATACAACATAGTCTGGGAGCTAGTAAACACAAAGCAGCAACATCAGAATATTTATGCTTTAAACATTTCGAACACTTCTTTCGATGCAGAAAACACGAGAATTGACAACTGTTTTGCGACTTCACCTCCAAGAAGTTTGTGCTTCAAGAAAATATATTTTTAAGAGATTTAAGCCAGTTTTGCTTGCTTTCTGTTGTACAACAAGTTTAGCTACCTGTTAAAACTGTTAACAGATAGCTCCATTGTGATTTTTCCAAAATGAAGATCCCTAAAATGTTTTCAGCTGTTCTCAGATAATGGGAACATTCTGCATTTTGAGTCAYTGCTCTGTATTGGAAATAATGTGACCAGGAAAGTATATTTGAACTGAACAGGKTGCAATCTGTCTCATGTAACAACACTGTTCACTGCCATTACGCTCAACCACAAACCAAGATGTCTGGGGTCAGTGTCTTCCCGTTTGTGAAGATAATTTTCCTGTAGCTGGGGATGACCTGAATCAAAATCATCAAGAGAACTTACAGTTACCTTCCTTTCTCCACATTCAATGGCAAGAGYTGCACTAGAATAAGCTACGGTTGCAGCTACATGATTTGACTTGAAGTTGACCATGGGAAGCTTTGAAGAAAAATCTGATGTTGCACAGCTTCCATGCCAGTTCCCTAACGTTTTTTTGTTTGTTTTTTAAATCTTCCTGTAAYAACTAAATTTCTCCCCTTAACATCAACATACTACCCTCCTTTATGAAGCTTTCAATGGCTCACCTGCATCTTGTCCTGCTCGCTCACCAATCCTTGGGATAAGAACTGCAGGAGGATTTGAAAGGCTTATTTCAAGTTATCCTTGCCGATAGACTGGGTGGACACGGTCAATGTATTTTCTTGAGCAGCATGTCAGGAACATGCTGAATAGTAAAAGGTCTCCAAAAACAATTTTAGCACTCAGCCAAACCAACAAACGGAGAACATGGAAACTGTTCTGTTTTTACAAATGAGCTATTGTTTGTGTCTTTTAAAAGAGTTGATTCAGATACACAAAACAATGAATTTGCCTATGAGCATCTGTGTATCATCCTTTGTCCTATGGTTTTAACTACGCAGCTCTGGTTTCCTGTGCTTTCTCGGGCTGTATCTGCTTTGGCCTGACTGGCACAATCCCATCAATGAATTGAGAGCTGAAGACTAGTGGATGGGGGTTTAGCATCTCTGTTACTTTACTTTTCTGATCTTCAGGTGAAGTTCAACTTGAAAATATACATATACCTACTTGGTTATCATGACTAAATGCAGTAATCAGTTATTTTGGAGAACTAGCATAGAAAGGTGTCTTAGAAGAGACACTGTTTTACAGCTTGAAATTCCATCAGCACTGATATGAGTTTTTTTGTTTGTTTGTTTTGAAAACCTGAATGCATCTTTTTCATCTTAAAATTATGCTCTGAATAAAATTTCAGTTTGTGTATCATTTCTCCTATAATGCAAATGGGTGGCATGAATACGGCCACCCACCCTGAGCTAAGCTGCCCCTAAGTCTGACTGGATGAAGCACCTTTACAGGAAATGAGAAGCTAGTAGCTTCAGATGATTTCCACCACCTCAGCCAGTCCAGGAAACCACAGTGACATAGCACAGCAATTTGTATATTTTGCTGCTATTATATTTTCCCCAAGTACCTAGCACCSTCTACAAGCATTCTGTCATCCCTTAGGAAGAGCTTGAGAATAGAGGTTTAAGTGTTTGCAAGCGTTGGTTTAGATTCCGCACTTAAGGACTGACACACTGCTCCACTGTCATTGTGCAGCAGTTGGAAATAAAAAGGCACGACAGCCAGAGACATTGCTGATGGTACGAGTAGTAATAAAGCAGCTGATGGTCATTAAGCAGGCAAGTGTTCCCATTAAGTATTTGCAGAAAGCAAGGACCTCAAATGGGCCAAWATTTTAGATCACAGCACGTGACAGTGCTACATTAAGACTGAAAAATATCKTAGGGCAGAGGAAAGAATTCAAGTCACAGATATTAAAAATTTCTGGTGAAAACTGAGGATATGGGTATACTTATGCACACTGTGATCATCTTACTCCTGCTCAGCAAAGCTTTTTTTTGTTGTTCTTCAAAAACTAGTCAGGAGTAGCAGAGAAACAGGACCCAAAAGAAGGTAAGAACAACAGTCAGAACAGGAACAGAGTCAAAAATCCTTCATCTTAATGTGCTTAATGGTGCTACATTCAGCAAATCTCTTCTCTCAAAGACTTTAGAAAAGAGATTTAAGTGACCACAGATTGGAGTTCACTGAAAATTGACTCAGAGCAAGGCATGTGCTAGGTTAATATAGACAATTCCTCCCATCTCATAAATCAGATTCAAAGCAATAAAGGTAATGCTTAGGAAAGGCACATAGAACCTGTGTTCTGCATGCATTGATTTATACCTTTATCTAAAGTAACACTTTGGCAACCGCTGTCTCTGAACCCCTAGTTTCTGCAGGGCAGAAATCCACCTGGAGTTGAAGTGGTAAATGGCCAAGAAGGTGTATTCCAGCTTGTAGGTTAAAATTTAAGCAAACTGCTAATTTCTCCCCCAAAATAATTTCCCAGGCTAAATACGTTAGTTTCCAGACTTCTCCCACAGAAGCCCAGCTACCCAGGAGGTGTCCATTGTGCACTCAAGATGAAACAGTTCTCCAACACAGAACACGCTCAATTAACTCTTCTGTAAGAATGCCAAAATACAGCATGTGGCTAAAGCAAAAATGGCTAGAGCACAAGGACAGGGCATGAATGGAAAGAGAGATGTATCTTCAAAAAAATAGTATTTGGAGGATCTTATGATTCCCAGGATGCTGTTTTTCAAGTATTTTTGCAGCTAGATGTTGCATACTTTATTCTACAAGCAGTGACATAAAGCCACCAGAGAATATTCATTACTCATGACTTAGTACGATGCTGAAATTTATGAACAACTGGAAATGCTCTTCTCTGGATCAAACTGGCAGAAAGCAACATTTATTTCATGAAAGAAAGGTTGATCTGATATTTAATCATCTTTAGTTTTGTTTTTATTAAAGCCATAATGGCTCTAATCTCAAAATAGGATATTCCACTGAGTCACCTTATTACATACCTATAATACCCCTAATGACGCGTCATCACTTCTCTCTCAGCTTTTCCTCTCTCCTTTGTTTTAAATTGCCCTGTCACACCTCCGTCTATTGCCTAGGCATTCTCACTGCTGTARCCAGGAATAAAATGGCATTTGCTCACACTGAAATGTCTCAGTTTTCCCAGCTCCAGACAAGGCTCTACATTCCAACCTGTTCCATTTTCACACCCACACATAAGAGACAAACCTTCCGTTCTGCACACATGTACAAGTGTGAATTACATTCGCTACATCTGCTGTGTAACTGATAGAATAATAACCTTGGTTATCTCAGAAAATACCCCAATTTCTGCATTTCCACGATGATAAATGTTATATCTTGAGAAACTTAAAAAAAGGTTTTTGCTACTTTTTTTTTTTTTCTCCCTCCCTTTTCTTAACAGCAAGGCAAAAATTAGTCAGTGTTATATCTAAGAAACCAGACAAGCAGGGGGGAGGAAAAAAAAGATTTTCATGTTCAGGTGTCAGATACTTTGAAGCCTTTAAGTAACCCTTAATTCTTAAAATACACCTAGACTGAAAAAAAGACTGGTAGGGGAYTATAAAGGTGACGAAAAGCATATTTCTTTGTAAAGAAGAGTATGTTTAATCAGTTTAAATCAAGGTAGAAAGGGAACATGCCACTAAGTCTTGTTTTTATTTTCCAAGAATTTGCTTTTAAGTTGCAAATCTTGATRTTTATTTTCAATCCAAATCTGCATTAAAATCTCAAATATAATTTTAAATAGTAAAGTCAGGAAAAAAAACAGACATAATTTAGACTGTTAGGTTATTTTAAGAAAAAGAGCCAGAATGGTCACCAAATAAAAACATTCAGTACTTTGAGGCTTTGGAGGAGTTTCATATTTGGTTTTAAGCCACATGCACAACCTATTTATGACAGTTAGAATATTAAACTGATTAGAAATTAAATTCAAAGACCAGTAGCAAAGAGGCTTAAAATATTTAAGTTTGGTCTTGTCAGTTTCTAAGGGTTTGGGCATGCAAACAAGTTAACACCAGGTCATTTTAGGTAGCTTTTCCACAGGGTAAAAGCACGAACACTGGCAGTTCCCAGAACACCTATTATACTGTAAATTTGTACCTTAGCTTACCAAGGGGCAACATGACCATATAGCTACTCGTTATTGCTATGCACTGTACAGGACCAGTTTCTCAAGTAGTACTTACCTCTTTGTATTGTAGGCTGTATCTTGGGGTGTTTCTTCAAACAAGGTTACGTATCCCAGAGCACAGGTGAGGATGAACAAGACTGTTAAGGTGTGAGCTCTCCTAGAATTTAGAAGAAAGAAAATTAAAAAACAGAACACAAAAATAGCAGTCTTTACTGGGGTTTGGGAAGCCTCAGAAGATCACTATCTACACCACAGCAGAAAATCATTSACAAGCATGTGACAGAAGCCTATTGTCATAGATATTTTGCTCATTTTCTTCACAGCTCTTCAAATTAAAATTCATACAAACACCTGCCCAACAAAGAACAGCAAATGAAAACCAACKGCACCCATTCTGCTAACACAGAGAGCTCAAGAAAAAAAGGTAAAATCTCTTCCCATTTATCAGATATRAAATGGTACTCAAAGCACAATTTCATGACATAGACTATTAACAACAGCAACAGCAGCAGACTGAATAGACTTTTTTTTCTTATTTCCAGTAATTCCTACAATTTCATCTCATCTTAGATCTGAACAGTCAGTTCAAACCAAAGGCTTTTTTTTTGTGCACTGGGAACATAAAGATCTAAGTGAGTAGATGTGGACCCAGGAGTTCAGAAGAGATCTTCCTGCAGCTCGTTGAGCTGCATAAAGAAACACTTACTAATTATGTGATAGACAATATTCCTATAAGGTAGCATTGCTTTCAAGCTGAAAATTTCTTTCATGATGAGGAGCATTTCGCTATTTTCAGCTGAAAACTCTGCTTTTGCTTCTGAGCTGAGGCCACAGGAAGTCTAGTCATTTAAGATCCAAACAAAGACTGAGCTCTGTTTTAGAGGGCTACCCCATTCTCTTAATACAAATCATTACATATCACAGGTATAAAACACTGAGCTTAGAGAACAGAAAAGGGCAAATGAGAATTACTTTAAGTGGTAAGTATGRGTACATATCTGCTAGTCTCACATATTTGCAATTTTTATAGTATAGTGTAATACCAGCGACTATTCCAGTTCCATTTTATAACAGAAAAGCAAGTTCATTTCCTCAAGTCATACAGCTCATGGCAAATCAAAGCTCACCATGCATTTCTGAGAATCCCACTTGCTATCTCTAAACAAACCAATAATCAACTTAAAAATCATTCTGAAAGTTAAGGTAGGCATTAGTTTGTACTGCRATTTGAAGTTCATTCTAATCCAAAATATAACCAGCTCTCACAGCATCCTTTTAATCCCACTGGAAAACACATGCAATACCTCATAAGCAGATGCAATCCTCTTGAGCAACCGATAGAAAGGCATTCGGTACTTAACACTATCCTTCCTTGTAGTCCGGAGGACACGGACTAACCAACTCCAGAAAGCAGAAAAAACACACGCATAGGAATATTTTCAAAATTACCACAGCTTTCCCGTGTCAAAAAATACACAAGGACTTCACAGCAAGCTTCCTGCTCGACGGATGCATTTTTGCTTTGACTTGCTTCACAGGATGCCAAATAACAGGTGATTCAGTCATCACATACTCAACATTCACTTAACTGTCACATGACTCAACACCTATTTTGTAACCTGACAGGAGCTGAAAAACTAGATACTGCCCTTTCTTAAAGGATATCATGCGATGGGGAGTTGAAGCCAAGGGTCTAAACTCATTTGCATCAGACTGTGGTCTCCTGTTTACTACATGTAGCTGTACATAATTAAYAGAAAAAAAAATGTGTTTTTGATCACAGAAAGAAGCTATATCAATTGCAATGTGATGCACTATGTTTCATACCTTGTTTTGTTACTTTTTAAAAAAAAGAGTAAGAGAATGCTTAAATCTAAAAATGGTCAGTCTGCACAGATATACTAAGCCAATTACTTTCTCTGAGTGTTTAGCATCCTGTAAATTGTCCCCCCCCCAAAAAAAAAAATCAATTAACAGCATGACTTCACTTTGATAAACATGACTAGAAATTCATCTACTCAAGCACAATGTTGATGTAGTTGTATTCTTCTCTGTAAAGAGACTAAAGCAAGGTGAATATTCAGGGTGGGAAAGCTTCATGTGCCCTGTCTTTGGTTTATTTTTGATGCTGCAGTCCTCAGCTTGAAATGCAGCACGCTTCCCTGTTTGGTAGGAAACAAGAAGGCACATATCATTCCCCCATCCCATTTTTGCCAAGTCTTCATTGCCAAGCAGAGAAAGCCTTTCTCAGAGAAGATTTTCAAGATGCTTAGTCATGTAAATGTATTTTCAGTACTGCATGAAGTTCAGAAAGCAGAATGAAAGACTTTTCAGCCTGGCTTCTCTTCAGCAAACAGCAAGTTAACAACCCTATCCAGAAAAATGCTAGTAGTGACAAAATTATGACAGCTACTAGAGCTCACAGATCATCATGCAAACCTATTCGTCAAGAGCCAAAAATTAAGCAAACAAGCACAGAAATCACACCAGGGTTTCCACACCTTGGAGAAGTACAGTGCAAAATCCACAGTAACATGGCGCAAGAGAAATGGGTAAGCATTTGCAGTAGCCAAAAATATGAGTAGCAGAAGTACTAGTGAAGAGTGAAATCAGTCAAGATGAATTCAATTGCTGAAAGAAGGAGTACTTTATTTTCCATATACACTCTAAATGGATAGACTAAGGGGAAGGTGATGCTGTGGATGTTCTGGGCTGCAAGGTAAGCACCAGGGGTATTAGGCAGAAAGGCTTATGTTCTCCTAGTTGGAGTCTTAGGAGACTGAAAGGAGCTAAGCTGAGTAGCGTACATGCTTTCTCCTTCAAATTATAAGAGAACTTGGGCTGTATACCAAAGGCAAGGAGTACAAACTCCTTGGTTTTGTGTGGGGAAAAATAACTTCTGAAATTTTTATGTGAAAAAATCTCCAAAAYGATGCCTAGAGAAATACACATAATGCCAGAAAAATCAAAGAAAGTACAGAATAAAACCCAAACAAAAATACTGTAACACTAATTACCTTATCTTTTGGCTTATTAATTAGGTTATTTTTCAGAGAAATCCACTTCTCTGAACCGAGAGAAAGGAGCTGCACCCTAGCATAGACAGCAGAGCAGATGGGACAGGCTGTATGACCTCCTTCAAAGTGCCTAAGCAACTGAACCACACCCTCACTACCCATTTCTTTCCATTCAAGTCCTCATTTGTCATAGATGATGCACCAACTACTTTAAAAACAATAACAGCTGTTGAGAAACACATGCAAAGGATTTCTCTTTTTTTTCCACCCTCACTCAAATTGTATATATTTTGCCACATTGCCCCATGAATTTAATTGCCACATTAATCAATTAATTTAATTGCCACATTAAAAAGTAACAAAGCTCAAAAGAAGAGCATGCATAGTGTGAACTATAAGAAAATATGGCTGAGTATTTACTCATAACTTCACCACCACTTTGCCATTCAGAATCAGAATCTTACCTAGCAGGGACACAATCCTAACAAAAAATGACTAGTCTTTTGGGGTAAATAAAACAAGAGAACTGAAACCTTCAACAAGAAGGAGGAAAATAAAGCAAATAACCTTCCATCATAATCTTGATAATACATCCCAAAAATAGAAACATGGGACTAAACCATTCGTATTACACTTGACTGAAAAGATGTCTGCCCATGAAGGCAAAGGAAATTGTCAGCTTTTCTTCAAAAAATGGAGTTCAAACACCAATTTCTGACACAAGACCTCAGGTCAATATACAGTTGAAGCTAAGAAAGTAAAAAGGCCTGAAGCATCAGGAAATTTAAAACAAAGCAAGTGGCTCMTAGCTAGCCAGAAATAGAATAGATATGCCTAAGTTTAGGCAATTAATATCAAATGGTCAATTGCATATCAGGCTTTCCATAAACATTTGATCTCCAGAACAGGACTAATAAATGGGTATTGAAAACATTATTACTTGAGCACAGATTTTGCACATTAAATACATCTTTCTAGCTTTTTCTACTCTCTGTAAAGACAGACACTTGGAAGAAACCAGTCAGTGAAATAGAGATATATGGTATATCCTGTGGAAGCGCCTTCATTTGCTTTTCTATTCTGTCTTCTCTGTCATCCACACATACTACGAAAAAAAAAAAACAAAACAAACAAACAAAAAAGCAGCAATCAGAACAAATACACAGTTTATGCTGCAACACTACCTAAAAGCTCTAGGCTGCTTGTAACACAAAATCTGTAACACAACAAAAATAAATATCACTATTAATTTAAGYAGGTTTTAAAATACTAGAGCTTAGGAAATTCAGAGATAATCAAAAAGTACCTGTTCTTAGGCCACTAACAAGTCTTCGGTGCATGTGTAAGTACACAGCACTGGTTACACTCTAAAATAGTAACATTCGTTTCCCTTGCCATCTAGTTTTCCACTTCCACAAGTAGCCGACTCTCGTAAATGATTACTTGATAAGAAACACACAATGGTACCTACTTCCATAGAAAAATCAGAACAATGGATTAAAAAGCAAATCCAGCTGCAGCAGTTAGTCATTTTCCTTTGAAAGARCGTGTGGAAAAGCAGCAGCGCCATTCAGCTTTCATACCGTTGGCAAGTCAACCCAAGCTTCAGAAAGATCTGTCTTTAATAATATGCTCTAAGTAAAACTTCAAACCTGTTACCATCTCTCTATTTTGAGGTTGAGTTTAAAACAATTCCACCAATGCTGTGGGATAAGGCACAACGCTCAAGGAGAAGACCAACACTTCTTGTTACAGAACAAATCTTTATTTAAAAAAAAAAAAAATCAAGAAAAGGGAAGAGAAAGAATGTGCCCTTATGCCAAACGTAATTGCATAAAAGCATAGAGATAATTTTTCAGGTGGACGGCTTGTTTTGCAAATTGCAGTAGAATTCAAGTCATTTGACAGTGCTTTGATGAATCAGAGTTCATGCACTCAAGTAGCTCTCTGTGGAAAGCGCTCCTATCACTGCAGCGCACGTGCAGGAGATACCCCAGAAATTTGTTCTAGGAGATACTTTCCTTGTAAGAGTGTTATATTCACAAGGTGAAAGTAACCTCCTGCACTCACGTGCTGAACCTTTGCTTTCTCCAAATACGGAAAACTCAGTTGCATTGCTTAGGCTACTGGTGACTGCTCTGACTTCACACTCCCCAGGAAAGCACCCCTCAACTCGTGCCAACTCA